AATATCTTAAACATAGATCCTTTAAGAATTAATCTCTTTCATAATTATCTTTCCGATAATTTTAAAGGCTAAGAACTAATATTTATATTTATGAAGTCAAATACTCTATCATCAAAGAACCTTATTCTATAGACTTTTTATCTAATTTAAATATTTACTTATTAAATAAATTTAGTAATCAAATAATCTTTGATAATTCAAAGATAAACAAGTATTTGATCCATTGGGTTTAAAAAAGGGTTCAAAACTTAGTGTTACTTATTCGTAAAATGCAGCTTTTTCGCCATTAAAGATCAGAATGGGTGGTACCCTGCAAGATAATGTGATTTATGAGACAAAAGATGATGAAGTTACACGTGCACCACTTGTTCAAAATGGTTCAGAGTTGTTCGGTTTCTCCAAAGGTTGCTTACCCATGTCTAGATTGGATAAACTCAACGTTTTCTTCAAGAAAGCTGGGTGAGTGAGTATATCATTTGTCAATTTCCAACAAGTTCATAATTTGTATTATTTCAGTTTCATTTGACTTCCAAACACAGGGCTATGGTCGTTTTCGGATTAAATGCACTAAGTGGGAGGACTGTCGGTCCGGACGGTTCTGCCATCGGAGGTTGGAATTCCAGCAATGCCGAATCGCTCATACGATACACTCTTAACAAGGGCTATACTATCCATGGTTGGGAACTTGGTAAATGACCTACACCAGAGTTGAAGCAAATCTATTTTCATGCAATTTTTTTATATGGCAGAATGAATTTTATTAAATAATAGTAATCTGGTTGATCAGGAAACGAACTGTGTGGCTCCGGCATCGGGGCGAAAATTGCAGCGGAACAATATGCAGCTGATGTCAACTCTCTCCAAAGCATTGTTGACAATATATACAGAGGATTTAAGGTTAAGCCATTAGTGAGAGCACCAGGAGGATTCATTGATACAAACTGGTTCACACATTTTGTACAGAAAACTCCTAAATCTCTCCAAGTAGTGACCCAACACATTTACAACCTCGGTCCAGGTACAACAAGCACAGAGAGTGAAGTGATTCAGTGATTTAAAAGTACCTTCAAAGAAGCATTTCGATTTTTGAAATATATGTAAACATTGTTTTCCCCTATTTTTTGCAGGTAATGATAATCAGCTGATGAATAAAATCCTAGATCCATCTTATGAAGATGGTGGGAGCCAGTCCTTTAGAGACCTTCAAGCAATTCTGAAGAGTTCATCAACATCAGCAGTTGCATGGGTTGGTGAAGCAGGAGGAACTTATAACAGTGGTCGAAATCGTGTCAGCAATTCGTTTGCTAATAGTTTCTGGTAAGCTTGTCCATTTCTTGTTTTGTTCTTAATTTTGACATGGAATCTTAGTTGGGAATTTAAGAAATTAAACAGGTATTTGGATCAACTTGGGCTGGAAGCTTCCTATGATTCCAAAACATATTGTAGACAGACATTGATTGGTGGAAACTATGGTTTGCTTGACACTGCTACATTTGTCCCTCATCCTGATTACTATAGGTACTACTTCAACTGCAAATCACTTATTAAATGTTGCCATGAAAGCTGTCTTAAAAGTTTCATATAAACACTGATGTTGCAGTGCTCTTCTCTGGCATCGGTTAATGGGGAGGAATGTGCTGTCGGCGAGCTTCTATGGGACGAAAAGTGTTCGAGCTTATGCTCACTGTTCTAAACAATCCGTAAGTATATCCTTAGATTAGGTATCAAAATTGAAGCAACATTTATGTAGTCCGATAATGTATAAGACATTCCTTTTTAACAGCAAGGAATCACTCTGCTGCTCATCAACTTCAGTGCTACCACGACCGTTCAAGTCCGAATCGTGACTTAAGGTTCTGCTAGAATGTCTACAAATTCTGACATGAATGGGAACAGTAATACAGAAGAGTACCATTTGACACCAAAAGATGGGGATGTACAGAGTCGGAAAGTGGTTTTAAATGGGAAAATAGGGGCTCCAAATTCATCCGGGAACATCCCTCGTTTGGAACCAGTCATCATGAGCATGCTCCACCGTATTGTTGTTGCTCCTTCCTCTATTGTATTTTCTCACTTTCCAAGTACAATACATCCAGCCTGTAAAGATTAATTTTTCCTTTTGGCAATTTCCATACTAAAAAAGAATAAGGAAATGTAAGATATAAATATAGACAGTACAAAGTAGTGTCAACACAAGCTGCTCTGTTAAACTAGAAGGTCCTAATAACTGAAACGGCTAAAGGACCCCACAATTAATAAATTGTAGAGATCATATGACTAAATTGATTTGTGTAACTTGCTTTTTTTTTTTTCTTCCAAATTTGCAATGTAAAAGCTGTAAAGAAGTTCGAACAAGAATATAACATGGAAGCAAGTTCACCTTGCCTAATGCTACTGCAGAAAAGACGATTATCATCTTTATTAGGCCAGTAAACGAACCGAACGCACACGAACGGATGTATGTTCATGTTCGTTCATTTAATAAATAAATGAACATAAACGAACACGAACATAAATGAACAAATTTTTTTTTGTTCATGTTCGTTTATTAAGGAATATAATTTGTTCATGTTCGTTCATTTAATAAATAAACGAACATAAACGCGTACTAACATAAACCAACACGAACATAAATGAACACGAACATAAACGTTGGAGACCCTACCTAGGGCTGTTAACGAGCCGAGTCGAGCTTGAGTATTGTTGAGCTCGACTCGAACTCGAAAACTTTCAAAGTCAGCTCGATTCGACATGAAAACTCGCAAGCTTAAAATTATCAAGTTCGACTCGAACTCGAAAATGCTCGAACTCAAAAAAAAATTTAAAAGCTCGATTAAAACTCGAGACTCGAGCTCGATTCTGAGCTCAATTCAAGCTCGACATTGCCCCAAGCGCAAAGATGCTTAAAACTATTCTCCCCCATCTTCTTTTATATAAGTTACCAACCCCGAGCTGCTTGTTTGCTACTGATGTGGGATTGCATAACGTTCCTCCACTTTCTTTCTTCATATCTCCTTCAAAACAGTCGAGATGAACACAGATTGTGTTTCATGTGATTTCCGACCTTAATCCTTGAGGATCAAACAAACATGTCCTTAGCTTCGTGTTATGTATAAGTTGAAAATTGGGAGATGAGAGAAGTAGGTTGGCTAAACTTCCATATCCGGATGGTGCACAAAATTTGTTTGATGAAAAGCGTTAAAGAACTTCTCAACCTATGGAATAATGCCTTACCATTATTGGGTTCTTGAGTTCAAAGTAAGCTGACTTGAGTTGCTGGTTGATCATTATTTACTTGTAAATTCGAATACTCCATTATATATGAAAGAAAAGAAGATTATTTGAGTAGAAGAAACAGTGATTAATACTTAACATCCCTTTCGGAATCCATCACCTTTGGACTTGGTTTCGAAAGCAACCAGTTTCTGGGACTCCTCTTTGCTCATCGGATAACCAGCAGGTGGCGAAGTCACATAGGGTTCCGGCGCAGTGGATGTTGGCGGTGCTGGGTATTCAGCTTATGGATCGTTCAAAAAGAACTAAACCATGTTAATATTGTTGGGTTTTCCAAATAAAATTGGGTTAATTATGGAGTTGGTCATCAGAATATTAGATTAATTAATATTTTTAAGATACTTACAAATTGGTCACCAAAATTGATTTAAGAAGATTGGGTTAAACATAAATGAATGAACATAAACGAACATAACCGAACGAACATAATCGAACGTTCACGAACATAAATGAACAAACGAGACTTATGTTCATGTTCATTCATTTAATTAAACGAACACAAAATCGTGTTCATGTTCGTTCATTTAATAAATAAACGCACATAAACGAACTTCCCGCCGCACGATTCATGAACGGTTCGCTGAACGTTCAGTTCATTTACAGGCCTAATCTTTATAAGTTACCTGGACACCCGTCATCCAAGATCCCACTGATATGTCATCATGAGCATAAGTCTTCAAAGATGCACTGCATGAAATATAAGCTAGATGGGGTGAAATTCAAATTCATTCAGAATTTTTGGCAGCCAAGTCAATGTTCAATGGAAGGTATAGTTCACAACACAACCTTTCAAATATATCATTGACCATGTTCAACATTGTGTGCAAAGAAAAGTGAATGATATTTTACACACAAAACAGATATGCATTTAGCCTGTGATATTAATATATAATCTTATGTTCTAATTTTAAATAATAATTTTAGTTGTTTCATTTAATTTTATATAAAAGTATAAAAATATAAAAGCACTCATATAATTATATTAAGTATCATTTAAAGTAAAAAAATGTTTTAACCATTTTCTAACTATACCGGTTTTTGATTAACCTCTCGAAATATCAATTCAGATAAAAGTTTATAATAAATATAGACATAAACATTTTGATTAAGTTTGGTGGCATAAGTTAATGAGCATTAATTTTAGTCATGGAAGTTAAAGAAGAATCAAAAGTAAATAAATAATAAAAGAGCCCAAAAAAAATGTGGTTGTCCAATTAGGAATGGCCTACGGAATCATATGGACTTGGTTGCATCAACCTGTTATCCTTCCACCGCCAAGAGAAGGAAGTTGTCGCTGCTCTGTGAAACCAGCCTCACGCTGTGCCTTTCCGCTCCAAGAGTATAGAGACCCATGCCTTCGCACGGGTCCCTTGAGCCACTTATAGCTTGGATCGGGCAGGCCAGAGATAAGCATCCATGAGTCCGATTCGTTGGATCAATCAATGTTAAACCACATTAGTGCCCCCACTTGGGTTACAAGCAGGCGTTACCCCACTCGACGAGCTATAAGTACTTTGATTGTTTATTTAAACAATGGATATATAATTTATATAAGCAATGTGGGATATGTTTCTCTATTCACGCACATCACAAACTTTATTTGTATTGGGGATCCCCTCTCACCGCTGACCATCCTGATTTAGATCAGCTGGACATGCAATATATCAATGCAGAGCAAACAGACAATGCTCTAACATATACTATATACACGTAGATAATTAACTAGTTTAATGTGATAACATGTTCTAGATAATCATTTACAGTAGAAACACATAGTTAATGACTGCAAATCTTATACAGTAGAGTTGGTAATTGCTTCCTATGACTACTGTATGAACTAGCGAGCAGGCGCAGCACCCTCCCTGAAAAGAATATTTGCCACTGGTGGTGGAACCCATGCTGGGCTGCCATCAGTCTGTTCATCCATATGTTGCACCTCACTATGAATCGAGCTGCTACGTCGCCCCGCCTTCGATCTCCTGATTTTCTTACCGATAAAAAATCCCACCTTCATTGCTGTAAATAGACCCAATGCAACTACAAGTGGCCTCACAGCCCAATGAAAATCCTCAAGATGCTGATACTTTTTCATCAACCCTGGACAATTATTAAAGGAAACCACTTCTACTTCAGCTGGATCAGCCAAAAACTCTCCCGATTCTTCTTGGATACTTAATCTTCCTGGGAACTTGACGACAAGGCATCCGTTTGGTAGGATCCAGCAAATTTTCCCAGTAGCCCAAATACCTCCTCTTTTACGAGGCCAATCAAAGCGAGGGCTAAGCACATTAGATTTCAGCCTGATAAACTGACCAATGCAGTAAGATTCTGCCATCTGAAACTCTGAACAACTCCCCTTCAAAAGAGTTTCTAACCCTATAAACCCAACAGAAACGGTTCCATCACGGTCAATGGAATGAAGAATGCCTACAGGTGAGTGCCTTTTGTCTTCCTCTTTCAAACGCACCCAGTCTCCAGCTGCTAACCCAAGTGTGACCCTCTCAAGTCTTGAAACATGAACTCTTAACGGGTCATGAATGCCACTAACCCTCACCAAAACAAAACCATCTTCATCTGTGCTACCCACCACATTTCCTTCTGGAACATCCATATTTTCAGGTTTGCATGACCTAGGTGGCTTTCTGGACCGCACTTCGTCCCCCACTTGCAAACAATCCTTTGAAAGAAACCACTCTTTGTAGTCAGAGGCAGTGTTGCTACTCTTTTTGTTCGACACTGTCCAATGCACAACATCTTCACCTCCGATCTCTAAGCTGAAAATGTGGTTGGCATTAGCCAAAGGTATCAGGCAAGTATGTCAACATTGTCATACGAAATTGTTGCTTTGATAAAGTCCAATTGCAAAACATAACTGCATACTACATGATTGTTCGGCACTTCATGCGTAAAGAGAGCTTAGAAAGAGTGGAACATAGATAAGGAATTTTATTTCTATCTTAAACTACAAAACTGAATATATACATAGCAGAGACCTTTTGAACACGCGCAATATGTCTTTCATCAATGGGCGACATCTGAAGTCGTACTCAAAGCAGCCAAGAAGAAAATTCTCAACTAGAGGTGGAAGGCCACTTGGAATCAGTGGTTTCTCCTGTTTTCTAACAACCAGGTCATAAATTTCATCAGCCGATTTCCCATGCCAAGGTACAACGCCAGTGAGCATCTGCACAATGCTACAGGCGAATCCCCATGAATCGGTCTCAAATGATAATGGACCTCTTATTTCCGGTCGCCACTGTTCTGGAGCCATGTAATTGGGCGTCCCAAGCCTGTGTGTCGTATCTGAGCTAGGCAAACTGACTCCCAGGAGAAGATACGGAATGCCAATATCCCCTAAAACTGCCTGGTCAGTTCCATTAAGAAGAAAGTTAAATGGTTTGAGGTTAAGAACCAATATCCCTTTCGAATGCAATTCCGAAATTCCCTGTGCCAAAATGACTCCATACCTGCAAACATTTGATGCAACAAATGTAAACTTATCTACTCTTTACAATCTTATATATAAACAAACGGAAATGGCAGACTTCCGGTAGACATCACCTCAAAACATTTGGAAATGGGAGCTTTCCTCCCTCAAGGCGCGTCATTTTATCTCCAACAGACCCCTCATAAAATTTCATAACAATACATATCTACAGGAGAAAGAAACCAATTTCTTAGCAAGACAATCAACTGTAGTGTAATGAACCAAAATCATCTATATAAAACACAAAGCACACCCTTCCACTTATAATAGAAATTCCATGAAGAGAACAAATATTATTCACATGCTGGCACTTGGAGTACAAATCACCAAATTTGTCCAATAAAGTCCTCATGGCATCCTGCTTAATTGGATGCAACATCTTGATGGCTACTTCATGATACTGATCATAATCTTTGGTGGAACATTGATAAGTCGCTAACCAAACATCGCCGAAAGCACCCCTTCCGATCCTATGCCGAAGTTTCAATACAGAAGGGTCAATCCAAGGAATTATCGGATTGGACGCCTCGATTACGGTTCTAAGTTTGTCATCATCATCACCTTCCACAAACTCATACTCAGAGAAACTAGCTGACAGAGCATTCACAACTTTCCCAGCCATTCCTTCATGTATTGACAAAACAGAATAGCCATCAAAGGCAAGCAAACATAAAATTTGCTAGCTGATATTCAAACCATGAATTCCCTAAGAATCAAAATATGATAATCCACAATAGAATATTAAATTGAGCTTTTCTTCTTCTTATTCTTCTTTTTCCATTAATACCAAAAGGAAGAAAGAATATGTTTATTAGAAGGAAAATACCAGACAAGTCACTTTCTTTTCCTAAGAGAATCCTGGAATAAGAAGAAGATGATAAAACATGAAGGCAATCATATTAAGATATAAGATTCATGGCACGAGAACTAACCTTAACGAAGACAAAACTGGATCGGCTGAGCGGAGCTGAGCTAAAAAGGAAACAGTTAGAAGAAGAGTTTTGAGTTGCCCACGAATTAAAATGAAAAAAGAAAGAAAGATAATTGAGAAAGTTGAGGAATTCTTTCGATATTTGAAGCTGAAACTTGAAAATAACGAGTGGGAAAATGAAGGGAAAATGAAGAGTGTGGGAAAGAGCGAAAGCGAGAAGTGAAACAAGAGACAGCTGAAGAAGCAACTGTTTACCTTGGAATCTAAAACGAGAAAACATACTAGAATCAAACAACAGTCACGAAGATTGGCCCCAAAGTGCGCTAATTTACTATTTAGCCCAATAACTTTGTTCCAATTTTAGATAATCTTTCTTATTTAGAGGTAATTGCATTATACATCCGTAAACTTTCTCCAGATTCTATATTAGTTCTTATACTTCTAAACGCTTCAGGTACACCTAGTCACCAAAGTTAATGACTAGACTGGCAAAGTGATTTGATTGAATTGATATCATAGTTTAAAGATTTAATTATAATATTTTAGAATTTATGAATTAATTTGAAATCTTAGTCATAATTTGAGGACTATTTGAATTAATTATTTTTTTAATTTTAAAAATAAAAAATAGACCAATCCGGGTCACACATATAGTTTTTGATAAATGAGTCTTCTAACAAAGATTTTTTGCATACACAAAAACTTAAATTTAATACATGCTTAAGTGATATCAAACTACTTATTACCATAATCAACTCATTGATATTAATGGCTTTCATAATTCATAAACCTTTACAATCAAACAGGGGCTACTAAAGCGCAATACAGAATAGCATGAAGGCCAGAGGAAAATTTTAATGGCTTATGCAGGTAGTGTAGCATGAAATAAATACAATAAATATTTTGGGTAAACTACCCATTTGGTCATCCATCTATTATTTAGTTTTATTTTGGACCATTCAACTCTTATTGTTTTAAAATCATACTTAATATTACTTTTTGATTATATTTTGGTCACTATTATTAAAAAATTAACGGTGGTGCTGACATGATATTTTTATTATTTTTTAACACTAACTTGACATTATCTTATGATAACATGTCATCATTATTGTTAATTTTTTAATGGTGTGTGACAAAAGCACAACCAAAACGTAACAGTTAGGCATTAAGAAAAGCAATAGTTGAGTGACCAAAACAGAAACTAAGTAATAGGTGAGTGATCAAATAAGTAGTTTATCCTAATATTTTACCAAAGCAGAACTAAATTTGAATCCAAAACTTGTAAAAAGTTGGGACGCAAAACAGTGTGTTGAGAATTCAGAACAAGGCAAACCCAAAGCAACAGTAGCAGTAATGCATTTAGACAAAGTCTGCCCTTCATTAGCGCTTCGGAGAATATTTTGCAGTGCCCCAAAGCTGAAATAGTTTCCTACAATTCCCCACAAAACCAGGACTGTCTCTCCTCTGGCAAACTCTGCCTTTGCTAGATCCTTTCCTTCTTGAAAAAGAGGACCAGCCCCTCCATAAGTGACCAAACTGGCATTCTTGTTGTACAATCATACTTTGCTTCTTTTTGTTGCGAGTCTTGCATCTCCCGTTGTCGACGTTATCATCATTATCATCTTCTTCACCGTTCTGTTCGATACCTAAAGTAGCCGCGGAGGTTTGCATTGACCTGCATATTTCGAATTGGCTCATCATCCATTGTTTTTATTGGTGTTAAAAAGTAATGGTTAAAACAAATTAAAAAGCCTTACAGATATGATTGGTTTTGGGCAACCATCGTTTTCTTGGATTGAATCTTTGTCAGGTTATAGCTGGAAGAGACGTGCCTAATAAAATGGAGCTGAAGAGAAAGAACAAAACCCAGAAATAAACTCATTGTGGGAATAAGCCATTACGTGAAAATCATATTTAAAAAACAGAGGAAACAGGACATGGTACAAACCTGATCACCGTCCTTGATGCCATAGTTCATGATATGATCAGTGTCTGTGAGCAACTTCAGGCCACCATAGCACAAACAAAAATGTCCCCAAACATGGGGCCTCCATTATGCAGATTCATATGAATCATATCACAAAATGATGAGTCGATAAATACATGAATCAAAATTCTTTTGGCTTTGTATTTCTTTTCTAATCAACATACCATGAAATCTTGCCGGGACCATTCTTTGGCATATGACTAAAGACATGTTGAACAGCCAGCTTGAGGTCGGCGATGGTGGCCGACTTTATAGCTTTGACATCTACAAAACGAAAAACAAGTTATAACATACGTAATAATTTCAGTGTTGGATCCTCGAGAAGCTGCAAAAGAAACGAGAAGAAAGTACCGAAGGAAGAGCCATCCAGTTTCCGAACGGTGAGCTTGATGGGCTCTTCGGGAAGTTTATAATAAGAGCAACTTTTACGAGAGAAACCATTGACATCTGCTAGGGATGATAATGGCAAGGAGACGGACCGCCTTGGCTTCTCCAAAGAAACCAAATCCTGCACTTGGGTTTTCAACATGCTGTCTAAGGAAACAGAAGAAGTAAAAAGACGCACACGCAAAAAAAAAACCACCACTTTTTCGTGTCTGATAAAACCATATATCAAAGGCTCTACCCATTTTAGCGAGATGGTGTGTAAGAGGGAAGCAACTTGATTCTTTGAGGAAAGTCACACGCACCCTCGTAATTCGTAAATATTAAGGAAGCTTGTGTCGGGGGAGATTCTGAATTGAGAGAGACATTATAGAGAAAGAAAGAAGGGCCATTTTACCTTTGCCTTTTGTTTTTTAACTTCACTGCCAGCTTTTTGCAGGGGCTCATTGGAGAAGAAGAAACAAGAAAGAGTATCTTCACGGTTAGTTCTTTTTGAAGGAAAAGGGAAACGTACGATTTCTTACGTGAATGTTTCTCGACTTTTAGGTTGCTTGACTGACGAGAAAATTAGACAATTATATTATGAGCCTGAAAAGGGAGAACTGAGTTCCAGTCTTAAAACTGCATCTCCAGTTCAAGTTTCAACTTTACATACAATCTGGAAATCTTCTGTACCAATGGGGAGAGAATAACAAGACACAATGAAGACGATGGGGAACAAAAACATTTTTATTTTAAGAAACAAAAATAAATGGAAATGTTAGAAATCTGTCAAAATATAAGAAATATATTATTCCTAAAACAGATATACCCTGGGATTAGTTGTATGCTGTCCTAACTCTGAAATTATGCAAAATTTGTAACAGTCTCAAACTCTCAATCTCCTGTACATAGTAAGATCAGCAACTTCTCAATGTACGTACATCTCCATTGCTTAGAGAGGTAGCTTGCTTCCATCATATCAGACAAAGGGACAAAAATAAGGGAGCAATCAGTAAAATTACAAGGCATCACATAGCCAGGCCGATCATTTCGCCACAAGCTTGTTGTAGGCATACAAACCAGAACCAACAAAAACCAAGAATTTGCCCCAGAACATTCAGCTGCAGAGAAAAAAAACATCAAGTAATGGATATATTACCTAATGTGTCATGTTAAGCTGTTAACTAGCAGCAAGAACAAGATAGATTGTGCGCTTACAATATCAAAGGGAAGCCCACCAAAAAGTATCCATCCAAGCCCAATGGTAAAAAGATCCTACAACCATAGTATTAACTACCAAATCAGATAATAAATTTGAAAAAAATGTACTTTTTTCTGATAAAAAAAAACTCCTTTTTATGTGCCTCAGGACAGTAATCATGACCTAAAGGGGGCATCTATACATGGAGATGAGAAATGCATCAAAATCTTATGCCAAACCAGATGCTCAAAAATCCAATAAATAGTTCATTGAAAAGCGTTTAGCATTAGCATTGGAACTTCAGTACAATGAGTCCTCAATTAAACAGAATTACCAACAGTAGCGAGAATGATATCACAGATCATTAATTTTCCATGGATGTCAGGTTTCAGATAAACAACACACGAATCGGGATTTGACGATATGTAAGCGAACCTTCAGATTGCCACAAATGGTTTGCACGACAGCTGAATTGAGGGTTGTGTTCAAGAATAGTGTAATTCAAGAAGAAAGCTAGTATACATGAAGAAATCAACACAACCTGTCCAAAATGAAGGATAATAATGTGTCCCCTTTATCAGAACTCTCACGAGTTATATGTGGTAAAATTAAAAAGCATTGCACCAACAGGTAAACACTAAACAAAAGAAGACTGGGGAACAAAGACAAGTTCCAAACACAGAAACAGGTACTTAATAGTGAGGGGAATATGGCTATTCCTAGAGGTCCTAAGATCGAACAACTGCATCTGCAGGGTATATACCTTATCAATAATTAAAAATAATTATGAACAAATACTATGTTACAATTATCACGGTCCCAGACTATTAAAAATATATATATATACATAGTTGAGAAGGAAAATTTATGTGGGGAGTGGAGAAAATCTTAAATATAAGTTGATCAACAAACGTATTTGGGAAGCCATAAACAAACACGGATTTCACGTCATAGAATGGGGATGGATTCAAGCTCTCGATACCATCGAAATGGAACCCAGGTAAGGAGGTGGAATTGGTGGATTAAAATCTATAACTGTAAGTATATATGTATATGTATATGTATAATGTATAATGTTATTATAAAATATGACATAAAATTAAGTGAATTAAATGATTAATTATATTACATGTGTCGTAGGCATTAAAGTGTCATGGAATTAAAGTGTAGATGTCATAAGTTGTATTTATAATTTGATGAAGAGTAGAATTATAAATACTTAATAAATTGGCATGATATTTATTCTATATAAAGAGGTAGTTGTCATCAATAAATATGTTAACTTGTATTACTCAGATCATCTAGTATTTTATTCTTGATGTTTTCGCATAATAGATCTTGAGTTCTTGATTTTATATCAATTAGATTTTAATTCTAATAAGAATACTCAGGGTAAGTGCTGAGATGCGAGGACAACTTCGACATCATCAGCAATTTGGCTGTCACTGCATGAGATATATAGCATATGTTGTAAATTTACAACGAAATATGGGAGCTAGCTCAATGGTAGAAGTGTGTTGTTTCTCACATCAAGGCCCAAGTTAAAATGAAAACAGACAATGATTAAGTGAAATATCTTATCTTCTCATGATCCCTCTTCATAGCCCATACACCCTTCTTTCTTCCCAATATCCCTTTTTTTTTAATATGTATATCGTTTTATTATGTGTGATTCTTCGTTCAAATTAAGAAAGAACTTTTGAAAACTATCGACACTCACGTTGTATATCAATAAATCATAACAATGAAAATTCTTTTTAATATTAAGAATGCAGATGGATGCATATTTTTTTAGGTATGGATGATTTAAATATAGTCCAAAAACAAGAATTTTGAGTTCTCATGAGATCTAGGGATGGGCACGGCACGGGTCGGGTCGGGTTTTTGATCGTCCCGATTCCGACCTGAAAATATTTTATTAATACCCGACTCTGTCCCGTTCCGATAATTTTTAGGTTTTCTCATGCCTTGAACCTGTACTGATTTTTAGACTATAAATATGACCCTGACATGAACTATATCAATATTTTAAATGATTAAAATAATACATTTTTATAAAAATAAAAATATTTAAAATCTTAAATATATTATATATTTTAAACCGGGTCGGGTCGGTGATTTTTTACCTTAAACTCGGCCCCGCCCCAAACCTACCTAGTATATAACACATCCCGTTCTGTCATGAACCCTGAAATGTAAAAAAAAAAACCCACCCCTGTAAGATCAGGTCGAATTGAAACCTGTCGGGTTCATGTATTTTAACCATCCCTAACGAGATCCAATTGATATTTTGATAACTTCGATGGTTTTCTTTGCGGGAAGCTAGTAAGTAAAAGGGTACCGATGACATTGGGATTGTCTTCATTGTGTGGATGAACAAATGAATGATATACAAGTATTGTCTTCGTTGAAAACAAAGAACAAATTATTTTCTTATACGTTTTGTCTTTGATTGAAAACAAATTAGAAAGTTATTTACGTTTTCTTATCTGTAATTGTTTATACCACAATTTAAGTGCACGCACTCACAAAGCCAAGAGCCCAAGACTGTCCTTTATTGAATACCAATATATAATGTTTTCTAGTGTTGGGGACTGTCAAGATAAATATACAAAAAGATAAACGTCGTGGGAATGCTCGGTGATAATGTGAGGGTGAGATCATAGGAAGCACGGAGGTCAATTGCTGATGAAAAGCCGTGGATCACCACCATCTTCTCTCGTGCAAGAAAACTAACAACTGAACCATAACGCCGTCTGTGGGAATCGAACCCACGACCACGTGGTTAAAAGCCACGCGCTCTACCAGCTGAGCTATGTTAACATAATAACAATCATATATTTTGTTATATTTTAATATAATTATTGCCAAACCAAGCAAAAAAAGAAACTAGTTTTAATTTCCTATATTTCTCTAAACTTTATGTGCAACTTGGATCCTTTCAATGATACTTCTTTTTGCTACGTTAACAGAATTTAGAATTTTAATTTATAATATACTTTTTTATTAGGGATATTCATACCCGGGGAACTTTTCCTATTTTTTTTTATAATTAAAAATTTTATTATCCAAACAGCAAAGTTTTGCTACAAATCATTCAACCAATCAATACAAAAAGGAAACTATGTACACCTAAACAAAGACAAGTGAATGGAGCTATAAACCCCAAGCATTACAAAGGTTAAGATTAGTACTATCTAGCCTATTGATATTTTTCCCCCTAAGACAAAACCGAACAACATCAATGATTTCGGTTAGCAAAATTGCAGCAGGTTTTGACCGATGTTGGAAAATTCGTTGATTTCTTTCCTGCCATATAGTCTAGATAAAAGCAGACCAAGCTATCTTTAAAATGAAGGTGATAAGAGATTTCCCTTTCCATGAAGTGCTTGATGTAGCAACCGTTTCTTCCCATGATAAGTTTGTAGGATTCATTCCATTCAATATCAAAACAGAATTCCATAAGCAGACGGCTAGTGAACACTCAGAAAATAGGTGGTTTCTTGTCTCGTGAGATAAGTTGCAGTTTACACATGTTGTATCAGTGCTAATTCCCATTCGTTATAAGCGGTCTCTGGTCTGTAATATGTCCTGTAGAGTCATCCAAACGATTAAGCAATGCTTCGGGATATGCATTGGAAATCAAATAAGTTTATGCCATGGAACTTTCTGCCCTTTTGGTCTAATCTCATCCCAAACTTCCTTCATCTGAAGCGAGTTTGAATAAAAAGATACTACATCAGCCCTCATTTTTAAAATTCTTTTTGTGTTCCAGCTGACATTGGAGGCAGGTTCAAATTGCCATAAATCGATCTCTTTGTTGACATAACTTTTTAGCCATGCAACCCAAAGGGATCCATCACCAGTCAGAATTTTTCTTATGAGATGAATAATACAAGCTCTATTCCAACTTTTGATATTTTGGTTATGACATATTTTATACTTTTTAATAAAAAGGAATGCTATAAGAATAAGAGTTTTGTTTGGTTTATAAAAGTTTTAAATTTAGTTAATTAAGTTAACAATATAACGATAATAGTCTTATCTTGTACCAGGTTCGAAGAATATATTGAAGATGAAGATATGATAAAAAAATTATATAAGATATAAAGTGTTTATCTTGACTTACTTCCGATAGCCGAAACGTCGTACAATGACTCGATTAAGGGCTTGTTACTAATCGTGCCATAATGTTTTCTCATTTTTTATACTCTTCGTGTTGTTTCTATAAAATATAGGTGATCAAAATGAAAATAGATAACAATTAAGCGGTCATATGTATAATTTATCTATAATAATATTACTCACAATACAAGCATTTGGAAACAAGCCAAATAAACAAAATTGCAAAAAGGTTAGCTGTTGCATATTAATTCGAAATCTGTTGAGTAGTTAATTTGATCTCTTTGTTCGTTTCAAAAAATTTTTTTTATCTCTTTGTAATGTGATCCTATCCATAAATAAATATACTCCCCTTTCCATACCTACTTTTATTTATTATATAGCTTTTTGTGGTAGTAAAGCTTAAACCTTTTGTTTTCCTTTTGAGAACCACAAGCCAATTATTTAAATAATTCTTCATCCAAAGACGAGTTGGTGATCCAAGTTATTGCAAAACTTGCAACTCTTAGTTCAAATTGTAGAGTTTAGCCAAATAATCAGTTTCGCCATTTATTTTACATATATGCGTTGCCCTTGCCTAATCACCAGTAGGCGAGTGCCGACGGCTGAGTAGTTAACCTACCTCTAATTAAGAACAATATGACTTTTTCTCGTTTTTTCACATTTTCCATGTAAATAATTTCTACTACTTTAACTGCTTTGCCGTTATGATCTAGCATAATTGAATCACTTTTAAGCATTTTTTGAATTAGTAACTGGAGAATAAAAGAAAATGATGCATACATTGAGGTCTAAACCAATTGGACGGGTGCCCAATGCTTATGAAAATGGGGTAAACTACAAGTTTACTATCTCAACTATCACCTTTGTTCCGTTTTGGTCATCCAACAAATTTTTTTTTGCCTTAAAATCATGCCCAACGTTACTTTTTAATTTCATTTTGGTTGTCTACCCTTGAAAAATTAACAGTGAGGTTGGCGTGTCATCATGAGATAATACCATGTCACCATTGGAAAAAAAATTAAAATGTCACGTCAGCAGTTATGTTAACCTTTTAAATAGCGAGTGACTAAAATATAACGTTAGGTATAATTTTAATTTAAAAACTAATTAAATGACCAAAACAAAACAAAATTAATAGTTGGGATACCAAAAATACACCCCTATATATCACGAAGCTTGACTTTTATTTAAACCTAGTTTGCATATTTGTAAATTTATCTATAATTTTAAATCTGTTTGAGATTTTAAATGTTGTATAAACTCAAGTAAAATGTATAATTATATTAACATTTGGAAATAATATTTTTATAATATTCAAACAAGAAAACATATTATTATTCATATAATTGAAAATGTATAATAATTATTTATGTTTTTTGGACACTTATTTATATAAGCAAATATATAGTTATTCATATAATTAAAAATATTTATTTATATATTTTGGATAATTATCCATATAAACATATATAATATTAATAAAATTAAAATATGTAATAATTAATTTTTGGGTAATTATATATTTGCACAACTTTTTCACTAATATCTTCATCACGTGCACGGTGTATAAACCATGAATGAAAATATAAATTATATATAATATCAATATATTATTTTATTATTAAATAATAATCAATAGGATAGATATAATTAAAAATAGATAATCTTTAAACTATATTATACGGTGATCTAATAAATATTTTTTTTAAAATATCCCGTTTAGTGATGGTTAAAACATATATTCCATTTTGCATGGAATAATTGTTAATGATAACTACATTTTAAATATATTAATTACTAATGGTCAAGATTAAGATTAGTTTATCCTATAAGCAACAAATTTTATTTAATTATGTGATTATCTTAATTAGAAACTTGATTCGAGTGTGTGCGCGACAGTTTTGGTATGAAGAAATAATGAGCAAAAGTCGCTCGAAACCCTACCATTGTAGCCATTCATACGCCTTGCTGCGTAATGTAAAAGTTGAAGACAACCAATAAACTAAAGATAGCTAATCTTCACCACTGCAAATGAAATTACTTTCTGTCATAAAAATCACAGTCGGCTCACTCGTTTAATAATTGACTAACTATTTAGATTCCTATTAATATTTAATACGCCAACTCAAAAGCTCACTACAGCACAACTTCCCGTGCCATTACCAAACAAAATCACATAACTCATTCACCCCAAGTTCCCCCCCCCCCCCGGTACAATCACAACTTAAAAACTATTATGACACAATTCCAATAAGTGATTTCAGTTCTAAAAAAAATTATTTTTTTAAAAGATTCATATTCGAACAAACGTATTTGTTGAATATGTGGACGTTATCAATAACTAATTTTTAAAAAATAATAGTATTTTATAATTATTTCAGACTATTCCACTAAACAAGTAATTGATAGTAAGAATATGTTTAAATGCGTAAACTATATAACCTGCTGAAACTGAAGAGGATTGTCAACGTGAAATTATTCATTTATTCTTTGTGGTTGCGAAACCTAGCTTCTGACATGGCTGCGTAGGTGAAATATTTATTGCTCCAAAGTAAAAATTACTCGGAGTCTCCATTCAATACGCCGACACCAATAATTTCCATGGCATCTTAAAAACTGCTTCCATATTTATGAGATACCTGCAAGGTTTTTCTCCAAAGGGGAAAAAAACATGGTACAGACAAAGAAATTCAGAGGTGTCCGGCAGCGTCAGTGGGGCTCTTGGGTATCTGAGATTCGCCATCCTTTACTGTAAGCCCACCCACACCCTGCCCACATATTCATATTTATATTATATACACTGATTTTAATTAACGTGTTTGATATTGGGGACAGGAAGAGAAGAGTATGGCTAGGCACATTTGAGACCGCCGAGGCAGCGGCAAGAGCATATGACCAGGCTGCCATTTTGATGAATGGACAGAATGCCAAGACCAATTTCCCCGCAGATGACAAGCAAGGTGGTCGTATCGACGATGAGTCTCCGTTGCCGGCCAAGGCTCTTTCTGAGCTTCTCAATGCTAAGCTGAGGAAGTGTTGCAAAGACCAATCTCCATCTCTCACTTGCCTCAGGCTCGACACCGATAATGCTCATATCGGAGTTTGGCAAAAACGTGCAGGCACTCGTTCGAGTTCCAGTTGGGTCATGAGGGTTGAGCTCAGGAATAACAAGATGATTACACCGGCATTGGATGATGGATCGGCATTATCGCCGGGGTCGTTGCCGCTTGATACGGCTGATGATGTTGAAGGGGAAAGTCATGTGATAGGAGAAGAAGATAGGATTGCGCTGCAGATGATAGAAGAATTACTCAATTGGAATTGCCCTATGACTTCAACCGGAGTTTAGGGGAAAAAATATCCATGGAATACCATGTACATCCTCATTTTATCAAGCCTGGTGCAATAAGCAGTATTTTGCCAGGTAATTGTGGAATTTACCATATGAAAGCAAATGTAAGCACCAGTGCAACAGTTTAACCTATTAATCCAAGTTTAATGTTAGTTATCTGTTAGAATTTATAAGCATGTGTTATAACGTAAATACAATAATAACGAATTTAAAATGGTTGTAAAATAAAGAATGTCAAGGTTTTATGTGGAAATTTTTTTCAAAAAATAACTACGGGAAAGAAGGAAAATTTTCATTGAGTTAGAAACAAGGAGAATATAAGAGGGTTTGGATAAACAAAAAGATTTTTAACCCTAATCGCTAGTATTTATTTATAGTGATTGATATTTGATTATAAATAAAATTTGTTTATCATAAATATGCTCGAAGTATGTTTTCTACATAAAAGAAAAGGATAAAGTACACTAATGGTCTCTTGATTATAGAGTATTAATTTATTGAGTCTTTTGGTTATTAAATGTTGCAAAATGGTCATTTAATTACAAGATATTGTTTTGTTGAGTCATCTGACTATTAAAAATTATAAAATGATCATCTGACTATTCATATGTTCCAAATTTATCATTTTCCGTTAAAAAATCAGAGATCATCTGAGTCAGACTTTAACTTACTCATTAGGATATGATAACAATTTGATTCCAAAACTGTTTGAGATTATTTTGTGGATCAAGTATTTGTTTACATTATATTATCAAGACAGTTCTTGAAATATTATGTCGTCGAGCTAGGGTATGAAAACAACAAATGTGCTAATAGACTTCATTAAAATATGAATTTATCATATCTCAGTCAGTAGGTTACATTTAGATATACGTCCATCATATTTTTAACGAAAAAAGACGAGTTTGGAACATATGAATAGTCGGGTGATCATTTTGTAACTTTTCATAATCAGAAATTCAACAAAGGAACACCTTATAATTAGAGGATCATTTTATAACTTTTAATAGTTGAAAGACTCAATAAAATAATATTATATAGTCTATGACATCCAATTCCTTAGGAAAAGATAAATCAATCTTACATTTTGATAAAAAGTAAGATTTTCAAGAAGAGAAAAAATCTCAAGGCAAATTACGCCATTTTTAAAATCCATCTCTTTGTGATTGAAGAAATGAATTGTCATCGTTAAATTTTACATCCTTGAATACGAAGGAGTAAATCATTTTCAACAACTCTAATATCTTTGAGTATGAAGGATTAGAATAATATTTCTAAAATTTATCATCTTTGGTACGAAGGAGCAAATAAATTTTATGAAATTCATCTTCTCGAGTAAGGAGTGGAAATTCATCAGCAAAATTTATGAAGGCATAGAGATTGTGAGTATCAACATAACAGATTGCTTCGTGAACTGTTCAAAATACATAAAAAAAACTACCGTAAAAATAATCTAACTATATGAGACCGTTGAATTATATGAGACCGTTTGATTTTTCCTGATAAAAAATATATCATGCTGAATGAAAAAAAAAGTTCAACTGTCATACAGATAAATAAAAATGTACTTTAAAACCAGACCAACAATCATACTATAAAAACAGAGAAGATACACCACTCTAAGAATATATTAAAAGAAAGAAATAAAAAAATAGTATTTATTAGATGTAAATAAAATACGTGGCTCTAAAATATAGTAAAATAAAAATTTTATTATAACATGAGAAAAAAGCGCCCCACGTACATTATAAAAACCAAATCTTTTGAACTTCACCCCCTTAAATCCGCTCGTTGTCTTGACCCCTTCTCCTTTCCTCTCTGCATCTTCTTCTCTCCATTTCCCCATCTGTGTATCTCCACAAAACCCGAAACCAACAATGGGAAAGGGCGGATATTTGAGTCACAGCGTCATCAGGAACATCCTTCTCTCCTACGCCTATGTCACCATCTGGATCTTCCTCAGCTTCTCCGTCATCGTCTACAACAAGTACATCCTCGACAAGAAGATGTACAATTGGCCTTTCCCCATCTCCCTTACCATCATCCACATGTCCTTTTGCGCCACCCTCGCTTTCCTCCTCATCAAGGTCTTCCGATTTGTCGACCCCGTTTCCATGTCTCGCGACCTTTACCTCTCTTCCGTCGTCCCCATCGGTGCCCTTTACTCTCTCAGCCTCTGGCTCTCCAATTCCGCTTACATTTACTCGTCTGTTTCCTTTATTCAGATGCTCAAAGCCCTCATGCCGGTGGCTGTTTATTCCATTGGTGTTCTTTTTAAAAAGGAGGCCTTTAAGACCGCTACAATGGCCACCATGTTGTCCATCTCTACCGGGTCGCCATTGCTGCTTACGGTGAATCTAGATTCGACACCTGGGGAGTGATTTTGCAGTTGGGAGCCGTTTCTTTTGAGGCTACTAGGTTGATTATGATCCAAATCTTGCTTACTTCTAAAGGGATCAACTTGAATCCCATTACTTCTCTGTATTATGTTGCACCATGCTGTTTGGTTTTCTTGTTGGTGCCATGGATTTATGTTGAGTTCCCGGTTTTGAAAGAGACTTCAGACTTCCATTTAGATCTCCTCATTTTCAGCACCAATTCTCTGTGTGCTTTTGCTCTGAATCTATCTGTCTTCTTACTCGTTGGAAAGACGTCTGCTTTGACCATGAATGTGGCTGGGGTTGTCAAGGACTGGCTGTTGATTGCCTTCTCATGGTCAGTGATTAAGGATACAGTGACGCCCATCAACTTGTTCGGATACGGGCTGGCGTTTCTGGGTGTTGCTTACTATAATCATTCCAAGTTACAGGCTTTGAAGGCTAAAGAAGCTCAGAAGACCACTGGACAGGCTGATGATGAAGCTGGGAGGTTGCTGAAGGGTACAGAAAGTGAGAAACTGGCTCCAAAAGTGGATCCAGGAATTAGACGATGACGACGATCAAATAAGGGCTAAAAGAGACAGATTTGGATGATGATCAAAAGGTTTTTTATTTAAGATCAGAAGGAAATGTTGCTCTTTTGGCTGCATTTGGGTTTTGGTATGTTGGTTTACAGGTCACCAATTCATTACATAAGCTAGTTGTTATGGCCATTTCATAGTAACATTAGGGGCTGGAATTAACATATGTTCCTTCTTGCATGATTGGTGTTGACAGAGGAAGAAGAATTTCTTTTATTTATTCTTTTATTTATTTGCATTATGATGGAAGCTATAACACCACAATCTCATCCTTCTAAATAAATAAGCCCAGTCGAATTCAAGTATTGCTAAACCCGATTCAACTCGAAAGCTCACAGTTTAAGATTATCAAAGCTCAACTCGAATTCAAAATAAAAAATTAAAGCTCGACTCAAAAGAACTTTGTTTACATTATGATGGAAGCTATAACACCACAATTTCATCATTCTAAGGTATCTTTTTATCTTTTTGCCTACTCCAAATACCCTTCTCATGGAGCAGCCGGCACCTTCCATTGCTTAGCAAAATGTAAAACAACGAGGCTAAGGAACAAAATTGTGGAATCTGTCAACAAAATATTCACATCACAAATAAATGCAAGCCACCAAATTGCTTCTCGGTTACTCCAAGAATCAAGCATGAATCGTTAAACAACACATTTTCGTTGAGAATACATCTGAGAGGGAGGGAAGCTAAACTAACAAGTACCACCCCTTCCAACTAAGGGACTTAAACCCTCAATGCCACCTGATCTTGCCATGTGATCTTTCGTTTCCCGACTCTGTTCGGGCCGCTTCCAGTGTTCCAGCAGGCGGATAGTTTAATATCGTTGTGCTGCTCATCATTTCCTATTCGGATTGAACTTTTCTTGAGTTCCTCTATTCTCAGTGAGTTATCATTAACCTGTAGTTTTTCCTCCTCTGTCTGCAATAGAATAAAAGCCAAGAAGAAATCAGATCAAGATCAAAGATTGTATACCATGCAAATTTGTAGACAATAACACATACTAACTACAAGTAGATTACCGAAATCTGGTTTAAATCAAAAACCGGTGCCATGCTTCGAGCAGCAGCCTCCTTTTCACTGTAAAGCCTTTCCTTCTGGTTCAAGTCAAGAGCCCGTAAAGAACTTCGCAGAGTAAGATCCTCCTTCCCACCGAAAACTTTCAGCTGCTTTTGGTTTAAGTCGATCATAGGAGAAGGACAAGTGAGTAAGGTTTCCTTTTCACCATAAGTCTTTCCCTTCTGGTTCAGATCAGAACCTGTAGCTAGGTGTCGCAAAGAATGTTCCTTTCCCGTTGATTTCTTTCCCTTCATATTCGGTTTACTTCTAATCACCATATTCTGTGGCGGTGCAAAGATTTGTTCCGCCGGGGTGTACGAAGATCGGTTTTGCATCAAGAATTTGTGCCTCCTTCTCAAAAACCTAAGAACAAAAAAATATGATCAAAACTCAAAATATTAACTCCAGTTACTCCATGTTAATAATCACAATGCTAATGTTATGCAAATCATACAAATTTATGGAGGAACAATATCATTTACCGGACTTCGGCCAACAGAGTCGATTTTCGTTCTTTCAACATCTGCAATTTCTTTCTCATGGCATCTGTTTCCTGAAAAACGCACATCAGAAATAAGTTGAGACTATAATCAGGGTCTACAAACAAACTAGCAATTCCAAAAACAGTTAAATTTGATACAACATTAAGCCATGAAACGATTTTGATGCAAAATATCAATAATTTTATCATCAAACTTTGCAGTAAACAATATACACAATCATGTTGATCAATCAAGCCTATGAAAGCTCACCGGCCCAAAACAATAGAGAGGACCATCATTTGAAACAATAAGATCCAAACGATCTAATAAAAAAAACCAGAGGAATAAAAACACCGATCTAATAAAAGCTTAAGAAAAGTAACTCAAAATCTAAACAATCAGCAAGAAAGCCATTACCTTGTGTAAGTCTTGAAAGTCTTGCATGAGGCTCTGGTGCTTGAACCTGGTTCTTTGGTCCTCATACATGGCGTATGGAGAATACCCCACAGAAGCAGCAACCACGTTCATCTTCTTCATGGTTCAGAACACAGGTATGAGGGCTAAAATAAGCAAATATGTAGAAGAGAAAGAGACAAGAAGGAGAAAGAATAAGGGTTATTCGATAAGAAAGAATGAGATGTGGGCATGAAATGATAAAAGGGAAAGATTAAGTGTAGAGAGAGAGAGGAAGGTTCTGGCTTTCCTGTTCAATCTGTTAAAACTCTGACCAAGACAAAGAAAACCCAAAGAAGTCCACATAATAACAAGAAGGTGAAAAAATGTAACTTTAGAGAGTTGAGACAGTGATGAAGATGGTTTTTTTTCCCCGGGGGGGTTGCAGAAGGGTATTTCTGGTAAACATGGGTTTTTGGATGGAGCACATTTGAAGACATCTACATCTATCTTCTCTATCTTTGCTTTCTTTTTCCCTTTAATTTTGGTTTTTTTTCCTTCCTCCTACTAAACCATAAATTATGGTCCAGCTGATCTGAGCTGGGCCATTGAAATAAAGAGAGAGTTTGGTGATGTGTGGACTCTTCGAGGGTGCGTGGAGTTTCCATGCTTTCTTTTTCTTTGTGTTTTTGATGTGTGGGTTTGCTGAAAATAAAGCAATGAAGATAAATAGGATGATGCTGTTTTTCTGATGTGTTTGTTCTTCTTGTCTTGTTGGTGCTGGTGTTGGGGTGTTTCAGCTGCTCAAGGTACCTTATTTTTAGGCTTTGACAGGCGCAAAGTGATGATTTTCTTTTGGGATAATGGCACCGTTACCCCTCTTCTTACTATATCTTTTAATATTCTATTATACTTTTTAAATGTTCCGTGTAACACCGTCTAATCATATTTACTAAATTAAATATTTTAATTCAATGTAAATTAAATATTCTGAATAAATATTAATTTATAATCATTCTAGATTATTAAAAAAAGTTAAATAACTAAAATATAACTGTATAAATAATTGAATGACTAAGTATATAATTCACCCATAGGATTATTTCATACCCAATTTCTTATAGATTCCCTAATTCACCCTTTACTTTCCTTTGTTGTCAAGGATTCTTTCTTCTTTATCCCACCACCTTCCAAATCCCCATCATCTATTAAAAAAGAAGAAGGGAATATACCCCAATTTTAGCTTCAAGTTAGAAAGTCACAGTCAATCAACTTAAGTGAATTCACTATGCAGGCTGCCTTAGTAGTTTCCCCTGCTATTAAAAGGGATAAACTAGTAATCCCCCCCATCAAAATCCACCCACCAAACCTATCCAATGAAACCAGCAATTCATCTGTTATAGACCCTTTGAATTCATGGTTTAAGAAAGCTTGAAAAAGCTGCTATGGGATCCTCTTGAAATCTATAAACACCAGTGTCGGTGACCAGATTCTTGCTAATTTGTTTATTAAATTTTTTGCAACTCTTATCTAAAAGACACAACAAATCACATGTGTGATGCATATGAATGGTTTTTTTTTTTAAAGAGAGATGGGATGGTTGTTAGTTGTGTATGTATGTATGTATTACTGTCAGTTTTCAGAAAGAGGGCACAGAAAACACTAGCTTTTCCTCAATTATTAATTCCTTTACATAGACGTGGGATGTTTATAACTTTATATGATATAGATATGTGGGTGTGTGAATTATTTGGCAATGCATCAACATCCCACATAAATATACTTTCAGCTTATGCCATGGATTCATCATCATCAGTTTAAAAGATTGGAAAAAGAATGTACTTTACGTCCCCTCTATTGTTTCTCATCTGTTTAAGCTTTTTCAACTGTTATGAGGCACAGAGGTAGCTAGGTAGCTAGCTAACAAGCATGCACTCAAAGCTTTTTTTTTAGTGGGATAAAATCAAGTGCTGGTAACTTTGCTTATGAGTTAAGCCAGTGGGTCATTATATGACAAATAGCAAAACAAAGTGGCCACTCACCACTTGTAGTGCTCATTGTTACTGTTTACAAATCAGAATTGTTCCTTTTCTTGATCTTTCTATTTTGTGTGCAACTGAGAAAGTTAACTAAATGATAGCGAGAACTGGGAATGATATTGTTATACTTTCGGAAAACATAGCCCGAAAACTATTAAAGATCTTAAAAAAAACTCTATCTTCTGAGTAGAGTCTTCAAAAATTCGGCAGAGATGATATCTCCAGAATTATTAATCTTTGACATAATCTTTAATAAAGTTGAATATAATAACTGAAAGTTATATTTATATAGTCTGTCAGTTTAAAATAAACATAATAATCTTAAATTTAACACCAACTGTCGATATAATTCATTTATTCCCATCAACAACGTGAATGGTGTAATCGGCCAACCTCAAAACTCATCATAGATGACATTTAACAAATTTAGATTCGAGTTTCATATGCAAGCTTTCAACATCACCCTCTGGTTTGGAGCAAGTGAAGGATCTGATTAGCCCTTTTTTTTTCTGTTCTTTCTGAAGTAGCCGACTTATCTTTGAATTGTGAATGCATCATCAATTTGGCGATCAATGTTTGCTTTCCCTATCCTATAGAAAGCTGAAACTGACCGAGAACCGCAAAAAAGAAAGAAAGAAAAGAAAGCTATGGCAAATGACTGACCTAGACTTGTACCGAGTTCATATAGCATGTACCATTTCTCTATGATAGACCCTGCAACTGTGTACTCTTTTAAAAGTCAAAGCTATATATTTTTTTCTCTCCCTTGCTTTTGGATTGAGGACCTACTTGAACCAGCAGCTCGATGCCATACGAACATGGATCTACAATTAGGGATGCCATCGAATCCAGATAAAATGACCAGTACATCCCCTATCTACAATACTTACTACACAAGCATTTCTTGGGTCCATATTAAGAGATGTAGAGCTGTTAAATATATATGAAGGCCCAAAAGAGCCTAGTGTAAGGATCCCATCACTGTAACATTGGGAGGCGTACCCATCACAATGCCACGTCACCATTAGAAAACATAGAAAGTATCGGGCAGCATGCAGAAGAAGGAATTTGGAGTGGAAATTTTGATTCCAAAGAAAGGCTGAGTTGATTGAATTTGGAGGTTTCAGTGGCAACTTTTAACTCACAAGGAGAAGAAGGTAACTGTTTTTTTTAGTTCTGAAATTTAATCAAGATCAAGTAATTAACTAGCTAATGCATGTTATATGTAGTACATTTCACATCTACTGTTCAATTCAGAACTTTTCTTTATTAGCATCTCTTTATTATATAATTCAGGAGGATGTGAGCAAATCCTTTTCCAGCCTGCTGGAGCAAAGGAGGAGATGGATCCATTTGCTGGTGCTCTATATGGAGCCACAACGGATTTGATCGAAACTGAATTCGGTGCTTACCCGGGGACGCTCTTAGGATCAAGCAACGTAATATGTGAAGTTCTTAACTTCTTAAGTAGATGATCTTCCTTGAGTGATGTAAGATTTTTACTTGTGAAACATGTCGTAGATCGGCCGATATTTCTCGAATCTGCAATATTACTTCCAAGTGAATGAGCAGTATGTGATGAATAAGTTGAAGTTAATCTTGTGCCCATTTCTGCATAAGGTATGCACTAGTAAGTACTTTTGCGTCCAAAATCAGTATGGAAGTCCATCTTAGAAATTTGTCTCTGATTTCTTTGTTTCCTACAGGGACACTGGGTGAGAGCAACTGAAAAACTAGGCGGTGACTTGTCTTACAAGCCACCTATCGATGACATAAACACTCCGATTTATACATACCATTGATGGCATTTGGCACATATGTGGTTCTAGCAGGCTTCCTTTTAGGCATCAATGGAAAGCAAGTCCAACTTCCCTTTCTAATCTTAATAATTTGATTTAATCATCAAATGGACTAAACCCGCTGGTAGTGACTAACATTTACTTGTTTTTCGCAGATTTAGCCCCGAAGCTCTAGGTGTGCTAGCTACAAATGGAGTGCTCTGCTGGTTAATCCAAGTCCTTCTACTTGAAGCAGTTCTGCATAAACTTGGAGAAGGAGACGTGCCGTTGCTCGACGTAGTTGCGTACGGAGGATGCACATTCGCTGCGGCTTCGATAACTCTAGTTTTGAGGATTGTTTGGAGTTACAATTTCTATGTTGTTGCAGTGTGGGAATGTTTGTTTATGGGGATGTTGCTTGTCAAAATTATGAAGAGAATTTTGATTGCGGAGGTGAGAAGTTGTGAAAAACATTCAAGCAAGCGCCATTATCTTCTTCTTCTACTGGCTGTTGCTCAACTCCCATTGCTCCTTTAGGTTGGAAATATTGTGTAGTCTGACTTCTAACAAAATATTAAAATAAATAAATTATCAACATGACCTTATTAATAGACAGTTTACAATTTATAATTGAGTTAAATATATTTTAGTTCTTAAAATTATATCATACTTTAATTCTAAATTTTTCTATTCAGTTTAATCACTAATCAAATAATTTAAGTGGCACCTATGTCAATACTTGAAGTTAGGGATGGGCATGAGTCAGGTTTCGGCCAACCCGATCCGACCCGAAAATTTTACATTCTTCACCCAACTTGAAAAATATATACCTCCACCTGACTCGAACCCGATCCGACTTTTTGAGATAAAATCCGAACCCGACCCGAAATAATAAAAAATATTATTATTTTTACTAAAAACAGTGATTTAATTGAAAAAAATAATATATAGAAGGATATTATTGTAATTATTCCTAAATATATAAGGTAAAATTATATTTTTTTGGTCGGGTCATATATTTTTACCCTAAACCCGAATCTAACCCAAACATCACATTTTAAAAACCCTACCCAAATTCGAATTAAAAAAAAACTCAATCTAATCGGGTCGGATCAAAACCCGTTGATTCAGGTCTCATGCCCATCCCTACTTAAAGCATGTTCTAACTAAAAGTGTTAGAAAAAAACTTGTAATTTTAAGATAGAAGCGGTACATGACTTACTTTTCAAGGCCTGAAAAGCTTTTACAATGCATCACGTCATTTAAATCTCATAGTTTTCTTTAACTAAAGGGCAATAGTAATAGTGAAACCATTGAAAATTTGTCGATAAAAATTGTATATAATACTTATTTCTTATATCTATAAATGCAAAGTCTGAATGAGCATTATAAACAATCAATATTGAAAATATAATACATATTTCTCTAGTTCTAATACTTCATGTTTTCTTATTTTTTTTCATAACATATACATATTCAATTTAATATATTATTCTAATATTTATTTTTGTGATTCGGTCGTATGATTCAATGTTATCATACAAATTTACGCTATAAATAAAAAATAAAACTAATTCATACGGATAAGTAATTATATTATAAATAAATCTCATTATTTCTCTGTCTAATTTGTAATGGAAAAAAGGGAGTTTGGGTCAGGCCATGGGAGGCATACAACTTTCACTTTTGGGCCCGATGGATCCTTCCAAATTAAGGCTAAAACTAAAGGAAATCTTCTACTCAAGTGCTAAAGCATAGGCTCATTATTTTGTTCTTCATTACCAGTGGACCAAAAAGCTGAATAATCCCTGATTCTGTTGAAAGGATGAGAATTTAGATAACAAAAGATTTACAACAAGGAAGCCTGTGTTATCTTCCCTCTTCGTTTATAAACTGGTGGTTCTGTTGATGTCAGTCTGAAATAAATGTCAGCTTCCCCTTCAATTCGCTGCTGTAAGCTTTTCTTTCCTTCTCCCAAAGCCAAACTTCGCATTTGCTTCTTCACTATCTTTGGCCTTTACTTGGGTTTTGGTCGTTGATTTAACTTTATTTCACTAATCAAGAAAAGGGTTTCCTCCTTCCTTCTAGATGATTATATCTTTTAATTTTTTGTTTGCCAAAACTCGGCATACAAATTTCTCACAGGTTGCTTCGTGATTCTGGTTTCAGGGGTGGATTGTAATTCCATTAATCATCTGTCTTTGCCTCCCGGGATTGGGCCATCAATGCTTTCGTACCACTCAAGAGCTGATTTTGTGAAACTCAACCTTTGCCCGGGCCTTAGTTCGCTTTCTTCTTTGGAGGTATGCATCATCTGCCTTTGCATTTTTACTTCCCTTGAACTCCATACTCGGCTACCGGACATAATGTTGAAGTTCCATTTGTTAAATAATGTTTCTAATTGCGAGCTTGTTGAAATTTAAAATTTTCATATATTTTAGATTTTAAAATTTTTTGTATTTTATATTGATAATATGTTTTTGTCCCTAAAATTTTATAAGTTCCATTTATCTTCAAATTTTATAAATTCACTATCCTCACATAAAATCTTGCTTCCCCGTAGTTAATGGTTGATTGAAACTTAAACCAGTCTGTATAATGTTCCTTAATACATTAATATGGATTAAGAATTTAGCTTTTTGCTTCTGAGTTCTCATTTTTGTTTCAGTTTGACTTGATTCGGTTTATCATTCGTCATTTTCATATTTAAAGATTGTCATTCGGAATAATTGAATTATAACTGTTTAGTTATGACTCTTGGCATGTTTATTAAAAGCCAGCAGTTTAGTAATTTTGGATGAAATATGGAATTCTTGAGTCTCTTTGTTTCCTGATTAGCTGTTAGTTTTAGAATACTTCTAACAAGTATGCGTATTTTCAAAATTGGTGCATTCCGCAGCGTAGCAGTGGTGAACTAAAACTCCAGTCAAAGCCTATAGTGCCTTTAAGAAACTTTCATCAACCGTGTGCATTGGTAGTTAGATGTGATCACCCTCAAAATGAGGATTTGCCTCGCTATTATTCGAAGAAAGAGAAGAAGCCCTTCCCTGTACCCATAGTGGAGCTGAGGCGAGCTGCTAGGGAGAGGTTCAAGAAGAGCAGAGGCCAGCCTAAAAAACCGGCTCCACCTCCGAAGAACGGCTTAATCGTTAAAAGCCTAGTACCCCTTGCCTACGATGTGCTGAATGCAAGGGTTACATTAATTAACAATCTCAAGAAACTCTTGAAGGTGGTGAAAGTTCATGCTTGCGGGTATATTTTTCTCCCTCTACCGTACTTCTTTCTTTGTGAACATCCTTATTCACAAAACCATGTTGTTTTAACCATAATGACTAGGTATTTAAGATTTACCAACGGCCCCTGTTATGTTTATTATGTAATTAGACTTGATTTGTCTGTAATCATAATCAGAGCTCGTTAGCTTTTTATAAAATTTATTTTCCGCTTTGAATGTGAATAGATAGTATGCTGTAGTGATATCTTAATCTTACATGTTTGCAGCTTTTGTAATGAAATTCATGTTGGTTCTGTCGGGCATCCATTCAAGTCATGTAGGGGTCACCGTGCTTCCATCCGTAACGGCCTTCACCAATGGACATATGCAACTGTTGATGATGTAGTCTTGCCAGTCGATGCCTACCATCTATATGATCGCCTTGGAAAGCGTATACGTCACGATGAGAGATTCTCCATTCCTCGGATTCCCGCAGTCGTTGAGCTCTCCATCCAAGCTGGTGTTGATGTTCCTGAATATCCAACAAAGAGGAGAAGAAAGCCAATCATTTGGATTGGTAAAAGCGAATTTGTTGATGCTGATGAAAGTGAACTACCAGATCCTGTTCCTGAAGTTCCCTTGAAACCATTATTGACCGAAATACCTGATCCGGAGGTAGTAGCTCCTTGCGATGAAGACGAAATAATCCGGCTTGCTGTGGAAACACTCGAAGCATGGGAACAAATGAGGAGAGGAGCTAAGAAGCTAATGAGGATGTATCCTGTGAGGGTTTGTGGATATTGCCCGGAGGTGCACGTTGGTCCCTCGGGGCACAAAGCACAGAACTGCGGTGCCCACAAGCACCAGCAACGAAATGGGCAACATGGTTGGCAAGCAGCAGTGCTGGACGACTTGATACCTCCAAGATATGTGTGGCATTTGCCTGAAGCGAAGGGACCGCCTTTGCGACGGGAACTCAGGTCTTTCTACGGGCAAGCCCCAGCTGTGGTGGAAATTTGTGTGCAGGCCGGTGCTGCTGTGCCTGATCAATATAAACCAACCATGAGGTTAGATATCGGGATCCCCACCAGTCTTAGAGAAGCTGAAATGGTAGTGTGACCCTTTGACGATCTTCGCTTCTTATGTTGTATTCTTCATGTATTGTAAATTATAATTGAATATTTATGTCGACATAGAGTTGTTCACCAACGAACTATAGTTTCATGCACTTGAGTTCTCACTTTTCATTGTTTCCGATCAGTTTGTAGAGCTTGCTTATACCATGCAAAGCACTAATTTGGATTCTTATTTATTTATTTTCCTTAATAACACAGTTAAATTCGTCCTTTAGAAAAGTTGCAGGATGAACAAAACACTATTCAGTGCGTGAATAAACATTGAAGAGATTGCCCAAGGGTTTCATATAAAACAGTAATAACAGAACCAAGTAACTACTGACCGCCGATGAACCTGTACCAAGAAGGCTTAAAAAACTAATGATTTCTATGACTGAAGATTCAAAGCTGAAGCCAAACCGCAGTTATTTGGTACAGACGTACACAAATTCAAAGTTATTTGGAAGCCTGAAAACATTCCCGTGGACCAGTTTCCACCCCGACTCCTCTCGAGTTTCTTCTCGGGTTTCAAGTTGGTTGTACTTTGAGATATCCCGATAAAGCCCGCAGCATGATCATGGCCACCATCCCTGAGAGGAAAAGAGTAATCATCAAAGAATTAGCAATCGAGAAGCAGTGAACCTAATCATCAGCCACCAGACTATAACAAGTACAGCATGGGATTGTTCATTGTTGTTTTATGAAGAATTGCAAGGCGGCATTACCTGGAAATCCACCAGACTATAACAATCCCGGTAGAATTTGCCAGTGGATCCTTGTGATATTTGATTGTAAATGCCAGTGGATAAAATGTTTTTCATTTTTGCTCTGCATGTAAAAACCGGCATTGTTAGCTTCAACGACATGGCAAAATGATTAAAATTATTCTACAAAATTGCCAATCCATCTTTCATTTACCCCAGCATACTTTCCTCTGAGACCAACATGAGATCCTTGCTGATACACTACAGCATTTTCCAGATCAAACACATCATAAATATCAGTTGCTACGCAAAACAAGAAATGGAATACCAGAATCAAGAATTTCCCGAATGCGGTCACCAACAATGGATCCCCCTGCATGAGTGGAGAGAAAATTAAGAACGTCGACTAAAACTACAATGAAACCATCACTTTGATTGAATCAAAGAACATGAAGGTCGATTATTGAACTTGAAAAACTCGGTAAACTGAGGATCGGAACTACTTGTATTGATAATACATTGCCGAGCTTTGTACTACAGAAAATTACAAACTAGAAACCTGTCCAGCTTTATATTAAGTGGATCAAGTACTAAGTGGTAGATAAACCAAAAAGAAGTTGTATTAGTGGTAAGGGACAAGAGTAAATTATGCCAAAATGAAAATGGATTCATAATGTGAATCAATCAAGGACTAGCAAGCAGATGCTCCATTAAGAGAAAGTTAGTGGTGGTGGGTGATGTGAGCCGTTGATATGCATTAGAGTTTTACCCAAAGAAATGTGGGACGTTGGATGATAAAAAGGGATTATATATATATAAAAGCTTCCAAGTCCCTGTTTATCACCAGATTAAGCTAAGAAAATATAGAGTGTTGTTCTTTGTCTGGCAATGCCGGAGGAGAGCATTACCCACTAAATAGAAGCATAAATTGATGGAGGTGAATTTGGATTAGATTTTGGGTCGAAATTCATAGTTATTTTAGTGAAATAATCCCACATCACTGATACATTTGAAATACAAGCTATTTAAATAGTCTAATGAGACACAAGTTGTTTGCCGAGTGGTGTAGCGCCTGCTTGTAACCCAAGTGGGGGCAACAAAGTTGTTTGAACTTTGGTACGGTTCATTGAGTCGGTTCTTGTGACTTCCATCTAGCCTGCCCATTCCAAGCTAGGAGTTGAGCAATGGGACTTGTGCGAAAGCTTGGTCTCTTGGCTCCTAGAGAGGAAGGCATAGCGTGAGGGTGGGTTCACAGAGCACAGCAAGCGACAACTTCCCTCTCTTGGCATTGGAAGGATAACAGGCTGGTGTTATCTTGGTTCCGATATGCCTTTCTAAATGAAACGTTCATTTTTCAATTCTGAAAAACAAGAGAAGTTTTGCTCTCCCTCTCTTTCAATCTATTTTTATCTTTGAAAACTACATGTTCATTGATCAAACAACAAAACCGCCGTAAAAAAAGAGCTATAAAAAGGATGGTATATATATTCCATGCTCGTGAATTTAGTTGTTCGAAAAGGAAAATAAAAACCGTAGTTGGTTGAAATGTTGAAAGTCAGAACAGCCGAGAGAAACTGAATTACATATGAACGGAGACGGCAATCGCAATCCTTCCAAGCATTACTGTAAATAATGTTAATACAAAACAAAGTTTTGTTTTTACTTTATCTTGAAGCACTATAGTCAACAAATTTACCCAAAAAGAAGATGGAATTATAAAACCAATTGGGTTTTAGGGTTCTAACTTTCCTTTACTTGGATTGTGTGAAAGTTTTGTTTTTGGGTTTCATCAATCTTTGGAGGCTTCTCAAGCTTTCAGTCCAATACAATTTCACCTAAAACAGGACCTGCTTTGTCTGGAAAACCGAATCAAACAGTACCAGACGAACTGGTTTTCGGTTTTCCGAGGAAGACTCCATCTTCCAAGACATTCTTTAACATGAGAAATGTTAGAAGATGGTCTATAAGATCTTTAGTTTCCAAATCAAAATGATGTATTGTCGTTTCACCCTGCCATCCGAATTCTTTAGCAGCAAACTGACTTCCATTTCTCTGTCAAACCAAACAAATCAGGCAAACCAAAGTTGTTTCTCGTCAGATCAAAGAAATAGCTTCAAGTTTGAAGAATTGAATGTAAATTTGCCAACTTGTAGGGAAGAAAATTTACGAAGTGTACTGACAAAAGAAATTACCAAGTGTTATACATATGACCATATAATTCAACAACCAAAATTTACTACCACAATTTCTTTATTACTAACAAAAGATCCTTACGACCCGTAATTCCAAAACTAAGTTCATACAATGTCATGTCTCTTTTTCCTAATGAAGAAAGTCCAGAAAAGAAGAAAAAATAGACGATAAATGACAAAAAAATAGAAACTATTTCTAATGTTCATTTTCGTTTCTCTCCGCTTTAAACACTCTCCTGGTTACAAATTACAATTTAGCTCAATTCAACAAAGACAGCAAGAATTATTAGTAAACAATGACAGTAGACAGGTCAAAATTGCCACAGATCGATAATGGATTTACTTCATATCCTGAATGGTCGATTTTCTGAATTAGAATGGTTCAACTTAGCCTTCTTTAAATGTGTTTTCTTGGTTGCAAATTGTTGGAAAAGATCTGGACCACCAAACTTGTGCTTATTTTGCCTATTCTCCTTCCTCTTACCCCAGTCATATTCTTCATCCCTGTAATAGTTTATACAGGCATTAGGAGATTACAACCTTCAAACCAGGCAAAGCTATTAGGCTAAAGGAAACCATATTCTTTTCTGTATCTTAACAAAACCTACAGTTGGAGATTATAAATATAAAAAGAATGCATCTATGTTCACTCACCATTCATTTGGAACGTAACCAATTCCTTTACTTTCCATAACGTTTGCCTCTTCGGTATGGAGGGGTGATGCTATGCCCATATCATCCCATCTTGCAACTGCAGCAAGTAAAACAGGCAAAAGAATAGCATGAATATGCGAGCATAAAAAAATTGAATGCAGATTATGCACTTGTGAACACAAGAAATGAATTTCAGAAGTATGAAAGCAAAAAAATGCAGCTGAAATAGATAATTTAGATAAATAACGCACCAGCAGTCTCCACCAGACCTTGGGTAAGCACATGGCTATTTGGAGATGAACCTATTTTGCCCTCTTTCAAAGAATCCACTTCTCTAGAATTAAACCAGTTTGCTTCTAAGACTGAGCCAGAACTCCTTTCTGCTTGTTTATCACTTGTAAGAACAGTACCATTCTGATAAATCCTCTCTTTAACATCTCCATCTATATTTTTCGTCAAGGAACTGGAGTTGTTAACACTTTTTAGAGCAGCAACATTGGCTGCCTTTTTCCTCCTACAATGATTCATACCAAAATTGATTGTGCTGGATTTCTCGGATGTGGATGGCCCCATATCTAAGGGTAAACAATCTTTATTCAATAAAATTTCTTTATAAACATGTGCATTTATGGTGCATTTCTTGCTCCTTTTAAGTTTCTTCTTGATGTGCATGCGCAGAGATGCCCTGAAAAATTTTAATCTTATGCCAATATGCATGTTTTCAAGCCGACACTTGAGATGTTTTTTCTTTGGCTTCTTACAAAGTGCATATTCAGGAGCTTTAATTTCCAAAGATCCATTTGGAATGATGCTACAAGGGGATTCAGAAAGATTCTTTTGGCTACTATCATCTCTCCTCTCATTTAGTGTCTTATCAATGGTGCTGTGACAGGAAACATCTCTGACCTGGAAATTAAATGAGAAAGATCATAAATCAATATACAAGTAGTACTACTGTTGCTAGTGTTAGATATTAAATATGATCAGTACAATCACCTGAGTACTGTCATGGTTTGGCTTATCTGGAGACGTAGCCTGAGCATCCTTCAATGTTTCATTAGTAGTACTCGTAGATGGAGCTTCACCAGGAACTTTCTTCATGGCTTTTTCTTCCATATCTTCTAGTGCAGCGATACTTGAAAACTCAATCTTTGAAGCATAATTAATCTGGAGGCATAAACATAGAGAAAAATTAGAAACAGGTGCAAATGCCACCAATGTAGGGGAAAAGGGATACAGAAGCCTGTGCAGAGAATAAAAACTTGCATATTTACCTTCTGCAAGGTCTCTTTACTCGCAACCTTTTCAGTGCCTGAGTTATGGAGACCACCACAATTGAGTGATAAGGTCAGTGGGATTCCAAGACCCGATTTAGAGTCTCCCCTCTCATTGCAGCCACTATCTTTGGCAACAGTAGTAACGGATGAAATTCCAGTACTAAGACCACCAACATTACCAACAACAGAGCAAGATGATGGTTGCAAGTTTTCACCTTGAACTAGGTTTGAAGCACATGCTTGTGATGAGTCCTTCCGTAATGGCACATTGAAAGGGGCTAAAGTAGACTCCTTAAGGACTGAGCCTTCTGCCATTGGCTGTGCATAGCTTAGCTGAGATGGCTCTTTCTTCATGATTGTTTCCTTTGACAAGCCACCATTATCAGTAACCTTTTGAGTCATACCAGTAGACGCGCCTGAAGAACATAACTTATTACCAACATGACCAGTTTGCACATGTTCCTTCAGATTTTGATTAAAAACAGACTTTCCTTTAACATTAGATTTTAAGGCATCCCTCTGAAGAATATCAATAGCTTTTCTTGGAGCAGTATTTCTGTCGCGAACATAGAACAACATGTAAGCTTCCTGCTCCATAACAGTCAGCTCACTAACCTGGACAACCTGTTGCATTGTGTTTGAAACACATAAGAAGGGTTATTCTAAAGATCAAAGACAAAACTTCCAGTAAGAATCTTTCAAGTAATGGAATAAGAAAGAAAACAGTTCTTCATCCCCAACTTAATGTCTATTAATCCCATTACATGTGATGATATAAATGTACAGTATGTGTCATATTTGCATAAATTAAAGTAACCATAAAGTTCCAATAATGGACATCTCTTATGACTAGCAAACAATGAGCTTCTGCATCTTGCAAAAAAAATGAAGTTAATAGTTCAGCATCTTGATCCTTTCCCAATTTTTACAACAAATTGAAGAAAGGAGGTTCCACATAAGAAGAGGATAACATCCACTCACTGATGACCCCTACAAGCATTCTAATAGAAAGAACAAATCTAAAAGGAAAAATTCATTTCAAGTACCCTGTTGTCATCAAGGGAGTACCACATGCCACTTGATGTGCGAACAAAGCAGTAGTAATGGCCAGAACGAGTGCTCCATCCACAATGAACCAGAACACCATAAAGAGTGTATTTCAAATCTCCTTCCTGCCAAGTCCAACAAACTTAACTTTTCAACTAGTTATATAAAGCATGATACAAAGTTATTGGTGACACAAATTACATTCCCAATCTCCTTACAGAAGAATGCCGTACATATTGAATGCAGGATTCAAAATTCAAACAGAATAAATATAAACTGAATAGCAAACTTCTTCCCACGATCAAGGCCCTTAAAGGTCATATAAAGAAACTTCTGAATGGCGTTGCATTATTCTTTTGACACTACTTTTTGTGTCTCCCAAACCTACAAACACACTCAACAGAGAGAAGTAACCACAAGCAACAGAAGCTTACTCACATTGGAACCACTGACGAAAGGCTTCACGTCTAAGGTCAGACCAAATTCAACTTTGCAGTCAATCTTTTGCCCAAAATCATATGCATGAAATCTCTTTAGATGGATGGTAAGTACATGAGGTGCATTGTAAACTGTGAGCTGTTTGGTTGCCTTAACTTTTTGCTTGCAGCGTTGGCACTGATACTGTCGCTCTCCTCCATCTAAAAGCTCAGCAGCAGTAAATTTTTTAAGTGCTTTAAGCAAGGAGTCTGTCTTAACTATTTCAAGACTTAAATCTAGGAAGGGATCATATGTGTTGGAGCCGTAAGAACACTGCAAGCATTTAACCTGAAGAAATAACAAGAAAATATTAAATAATGCATAGAAGTATCATTCCATAAGAAGTTCGAATATGACTTGGAATATATCAAGTACATGAATTTTCATTGCATAATTGCAACACATCCAAAATTGTCAAAATCTAACAAAACTTCATACAGTTTGGTCATATCATTCAGAAAGAAAAAGAGTATACCTGACTACGAAGGCGACCACCAAAGATCTTGTGCACCAAACTCTTCTCATAAGCACTAGGGGATTCACTTGATACTCCTGAAGGTAAGCAGCACTTGTGCATGGATTCTAGTAGGTTTACCATGTATTCATGTGCATCCTCCTGTTGAGAATTTCGGAAGTTCCGAGATATGCCTAAGCATGAGTTAAGAATTACAACTTCTAGAAACTAGACAGCAAATCTCTTACACAGTAGAAATGATATAGCCACTAATATTAATGGTAATTCAGGTTTAATTTGTGTCTTTAACATAACAAATAACTTCCACAAATGAATTTCAGAAATTTATAGTTAACAGCATTGCCTAAACTAATCCCTGTAGAGTAGGGGTTAAAAAGGAAATTTCTCATGCACCACAGCTGAACAACAAAATAGTCAATGACATGATATACAAAAAGGATTCAGCGCAGGTTCGAGACCAGATCATTTGGTGCCAATATCCTCCCAGTTGATTGTAGAGCGCGGCTAACATGTTTCTGGATAGCACATAAGGCACAAAATCCAGCAATACGGCCTTCATATACCAATTGAAAACATGGACATCATCAGAGAAAAAATATATGAACATGACATGTGAAACTTGACTTGCACTTACGCCGGAACATAACCATATGCATAAACACTGAAGCACATAAACTAAAACACCTGTCAATATTGTACTCAAAACAAGAAGAAAAGAACAACATAGAGAAAAGATCATAATTTTGCTCACAAGATTTTTTATGCCTGCCACTTTGCAGATAAGCTACTAAAGGCTCTGTGTATGTCAAGCACTGCAATACCGAATTAAGAAAACATGTGTTTCCAAGATTCTCCAAACCAGCACCCTGACAATTTTTAAAGCCATGTTAGTGGTTGAATTAGTACACAGAAATCTCCAGAAAAAAAAGGCTCCACTTGATCATAACAGAAAGATAAGATTGAACATAACAGTGCCTAAAATAGAAGCTTACAATTTTACGAAAAGTTATCTTCAAACCAAGAACTGGATCCAAACCATTCTCCCACATATCTGTCCCATCAACCTTCCTTCCTATAACGCCCAATTGATCAGATCCAATTCCGTTTACCCGCTTCGAATCCGGCCCAGGGTTTAGCGTCTCGGTTCTAAAATCCCCACCGTCCAAACTTTTTAACGCATTAAAGGACTTCCTCGCTGGATGAAACTCGATCTTTTTCTTAGACAGATCAAAACTGGAAGAAGAAGAAGAAGCCAGCGACCCGTTTCCAAGATCCGAACGCTCCAGCATTTCAGCTTCGGTTCTCAATTACGAGCTACTAATCAACATTGCTTCCATGTTCAAAAATAGGGTTTGCGTTAAAAATTCGTCCCCGTTTACAATCCCAGCGAAGAGAGGTTTTCAGTGGAAGAAAATGCAAAAAAAAAAAATAACGATAATAAAGCAGAGAGTTTTTTCGGCTTCTGCGAAAGAGGAGGAGAAAGAGGGAGATGAAGCTCACTATTAAACCCTACAGCAAATACCCCAACAAATAAATTTTAATTTTTTAATTCCATGTTGATTTTGTTAGCGTGGGGCGCGGCTGACTAGAATATTTTTTTTCTGCAAACGCTTTGGAAACAACCAATAGAAAACCGCCACTATAGGATAAAAAGTAAATATGTTAGTTTTAATACAAAATAGATTCATGTAACGTTTCAAATTTTAAAATTTAATTTATATTATATTTAAAAAATAAACCATTATATTACTTTATCCATGGTTGGCCGCATTACTATTGTTAAATCTATTCTTAGTGCAATTCCGGTTTATTTTATGCAAACTATAGTTTTCCCTAAGAAGATTTGTAATGACATTGAAAAATACATTCATCGCTTCATTTGGGATTCTTCAAATACAGGTAATAAAGCGTCTCTCGTTAATTGGGAGGCATTATGTCAAGAGACCTTAGAATTTAGCAATATCATAAATTTTAAATATTTTTTTAACTTTTTTATATATTAAATAAAACCTCAAACTTTATAAAAAAAAATTAGTAAATACTCAAACATTTTAAAATAACCAAATAAACTTTTTTACCATTTCACTATTCATTTATTAGTCACTATGTCAACATCATATACTGTCATTCAACACCATGACAATTATCAATTTTCGTCAATGAACAGATTAAATTAATTAATTTTTAGAATTTTAAATATTAATTAAATGTAAAAAATAAGGCTAACTTTTTTTTAAGTTGAAGATTTCGGTATCACTAATTTTTTGGGTAAAGTATATAAATGGTCCCCTAACTATATGATAATATTTTATTGAGTCTATCAACTATTAAAAGTTATAAAATGGCCTCCGACTATAAGAAGTTACTTTGTTGAGTCCCGGACTATTAAAAGTTACAAAATGATTATTCGACTATTCATATGTTCGAAATTCATCTTTTTCTATTAAAAAATTGACAGACATCTCATTTAGAAATTAACAGTCTGAATGAGATATGATAAAATTTGATCCCAGAACAGTTTGAATTGTATAGTCGTTTGCAATTCTATAATCAAATTTTATCATATTACAATTAGCATGTTAACGTCTAACTTAAATATAAATCAATTTTTAACGAAAAATGACTAATTTGAAACATATGAATAGTTGGGTAACCATTTTGTAATTGTTAATAGTCAGCTCAACAAATCATCATCATATAATTGTGAATCATTTTATAACTTTTAATAATCGAAGAACTAAACAAAGTATTGCCATATAGTTAGGGACCATTTATGTAATTTATACTATTTTTTTTAATAAGATTTGGACCTTTGTAGAAGAATAAAAGTGAATTAAACAAAACTAAAGAGGGCAATACCGCAATAGTCGAAGTAGGATAAATGAAAGCAGAGCAAGTCAGATGTAGGGTTTGCTCATTAGTTTAAGAATGAGGCTTTGCTCTCGAGGAGGTTGCTGGTTTCCAAAGGGCGGTTGACTCACCTCCTCTGATTGGTAGCGAAGCCTATGATTTCACCAATCGAACCTTCATCCACGATAGCTCTTACCAGCTAATTATTCATTCATCGCCATTGTCTTCTCAGCTTCTTTTGTTTATGTTTCTGTTTCCAATGTTTCTTCTTCTTCTCCTTCTTATTTTCTCTCTCTCTAAATGAATGCTGCGAGGCTATGATGATATCTTCTTTGAGGGGGGAACGGTCGTTGCTTGGCGGGACAGAAACCCATGTTTATTGCAGCCGCCGACCTTGTTCTCTTCACTTTGTCTGAAAATGGGCGAATCTGAGCCTCTCTTTTCTCAATCCCCTACCCCACTGTTAGTTGAATTTTCTTGGTTGGTGGAGAAATACTCCCATATTTTAAAGGAAATCGTTATTACATAACCGTATTGTTGCCTGGAAGTTGAGAAAAGTATTGTGGACCAGGTGGACGATGCAACAAATGTTATTTCTCAGTTTTAATCCGACTGAATCAAGGCTTGTCGAGTTTGATACTCCTAAGATTGTGCGTCTCAAGATACTTCTTTGATGCTGGGTAAGCAGCATTCTAAAGACGCATTAGTGTTTGATTTCTTTGATCTATAAATATTTTTTAGGATGGATATAAATATATTAACGATATAAATTTTTTATAAGTAACTTACATAAATACAATTTTATGTATCTGAAATAATTATTATTTTTATATTAAAGCTGCTTCTATAGTTGGATGAAGATGCGTTGCAGTCTATATGTTTCTTATGTAGAAGTAGAACTAAAGACAAGTTGTCATTTGTACATTTTTTTTACGAGAATTGAAGACGTATTGTAATTTTGAAGTCTTTTTAGTCACATGAATCACTACAAGTCTTCTCTTTCACATTATAACAATTATTCTAATCTAAAAAATAATGCTCGAGATAAATTATTTTGATTTTTTTTCAATGACATTATCGCAACCATCTTGCCAACTTTTAGTTATATTCTGGTATAAATCAAAACAAACAACACATTACTCTTCGGGCTGTTATAAGTGGATTGGGTTCAACTGGACAGGACGAGTCCAGCATGAAACGTAACAATGATAAAGTAGATCAACGGCCATAAAAACGAGATTATAGTGGGACCAAACAGATCAACGGAGCGATCTATCAAACTTCCTGCAAATCGCTATTCTTTTGCCGGCACATTAAAATGCGAGCCAACCAAGCGATTGCAATGAATCGAAAAAAAGGTATCGGCTACAGCAGATTCTTATTCCCCACTCTTTCTTCTTTCGTCTTACGAATCTTACCCGAGAAACCAAACAAACAAAGAGGATTTTGTTCACGCCGAGGGAGAAAAAGGAAGAACATAGAATTTATTATTTTATTACTTTTTTTTTGTTTGGGGGGAAATTGAGAGAGAAAGTGAAAAAAAGATGAAGATCACGGCGTTAGTGGTGTTGAAGTGCAACCCGGAAGGATCCGATCCGATTATACTGGCCAACGCAACTGATGTGAGCCGTTTTGGTTACTTCCAAAGGCCAAGCGTCAGGGAGTTTATTGTCTTCGTTTCTCGAACTGTTGCTAAACGTACCCCTCCCGATCAGCGTCAATCAGTCCAACACGAAGGTATGTCATTTCGGTTCAACCTTATTTAACTTTCTTGATTTAGGGTTTGAACTTTGAAGGATAGTATTTGCTTTGTTGGTGATTGATATCTGTGGCGATTCCATTCATAACACTGTGTTTAGATATTTTGTCTTCTATATTGTATTAGATTGTTAATTTTTTGATCTGTTCCAAAACGATATTTAGTAGCAAAAGGAAAGCATAATTCGAATGTTTTTCTAACGATTAATGAAGATTTGACCTTAAAAGTATGGCTGATCTTTTCTATATTTGTGGATTTCGTTTCTCTTTGAGGTTTGGGTGTATGATTTGGTTGATTCTGTTGAGACTGGGAAATTATGATCGTAGTTTTTTCTAAAGATTCTAATTTGTTTTTTTGGTGATAACCGTGATATTAATGTAGAGTACAAGGTTCATGCTTACAACAGAAATGGACTTTGTGCATTGGGATTTATGGATGATCATTATCCTGTTCGAAGTGCTTTTTCGCTTCTCAACCAGGTAAAAGAAACTAAGTGCTCCATTTTTGCTGTTCAATTATTTCCTTTATGTTTCAATGTCTTCTGATACTATCGACTGCAACCAAGTAAACAAAATTTTAGCTATATGTCTTGGTTCTTGTAGATGGTCCTGAATATATGAAGGCAAAGGCTTGTTTATTTGGTTTGATTTGGTTATATAGGAAGTATCTAGTCAGTTAAAATTTTCATTCAACTATGATTATGCTTTGTTTTGGTTTCACTTGTGAACCTGTCACTTTTTTTCTTGATGCTTGGTATGGATGTTATTGTTAGGGTTGTAGATAGATAGATGGGTGTTTTTTACTGTTCTTTGCTTTGATTGTGAAAAGTTTCCGTTTGTTTGTATCTTTCTTTGATAAATTCCAAATGATGATGTTTTCCAGGTGTTAGATGAGTATCAGAAAAATTTTGGGGAGTCGTGGAGAAATGCGCAAGCGGATAGCACTCAACCTTGGCCCTATCTGAATGATGCTTTGACCAAATTTCAGGTATCTGGTTTTTTTTATGCATGTCTGCTGTAGTTCTAATGTGGTATGTGAATTGTACTCTTCAAATCATATCAGAGCATACCTAAAGGATATTAGTTGGAGATTTGGAGAAGTTGTTTTGAAAATCCTTTTCTAACCTCTTTCTACCTTCAGGACCCTGCAGAGGCGGATAAATTATTGAAAATTCAGAGGGAGTTGGATGAAACTAAAATCATCCTTGTAAGTATTACTTGTTGATGCATAGATTAGTGATCTTGTATGTATTCCCTTTGGCTTTCAGTTATCATAGCATGGAATCTTCACCTTGGAATATCATTATCAACAGTTCATACTTGTATCCACTGTTTGTTTGTCTAACATGCAAAACACATACTTTAGATCAAAATTGTTTTTGCTTTGTGTTGTGATAAATGATAACAATTATAGAAAGATTTGTTTATTCATAGCAAACTAATTAAGGTCATCATGGATGTTGTAAAATTTGTTTTGTGCATTTTTGGTTTACAATTTGCAATATTGCAATTTCTTACTCTGTTATCAGGAAACCAAATTGGTTTATTGATGATATAACCTATTTTCATTGGAGGAAAGAAAGTTTTTGGTGGAATATTAAAGTTTAGGCCATATCAACTGCTGCTAAATGGCTATTTAGATAAGAAGAAAAGGTCCATGGTTACTGCCAATTGAAGTATATTTAGGTTCCATTCTTTGCATGTGTTTGTTTCAAATTAGTTCACATTTCCAAATATTGTTAATGATCTGAAACACTTCAAAAATACTGAACCTTCAGTAGATTGTTTTCTCGTTTGATATGTTTGGCACATAAGCAATTAATGAGAGTACCATATGTTCATTTTCTATCTATTTTCTCAACAAGAGTTTTTTAAAGGAGAACATTGTTTATCAAATGGCTAAATAGCAGCCTATGACACATCTTCATAATCCATAATTTTCTGTCGACTGTTGCTGTTAAACATGCTTCTTGAATTGAAGATGAAATGTTGATGAAATAATTACTATGTTTGTATTAGCAATGACTGATTATTAATTCTTCTGACACTCGTTGAAACAATTATTTACTCGATGCAGCATAAAACTATTGATAGTGTGCTTGCTCGAGGTGAGAAGCTGGACAGTTTGGTTGAGAAGAGTTCAGACCTGAGTGCTGCATCTCAGGTACATGTGCAACACTTTACACAATCACTGATTCTGCTTTTCAAGACCTGTGTTTCTTTCCTATTTATCATTTTTTTTGTAGTTTCCATTGCAGTGTCAGTTTTACTTTATCCCCTCATCCTTTTTCTTTCTGTTTTAACACCTTTTTACCATCTTCACTACAACTGTATGTTGTCGCTAACACTGAACATAATTCTGGGTATTGAAACAGATGTTCTACAAGCAGGCTAAGAAAACCAATCAATGTTGTACCATACTGTAGACTTCCTAGAGAAAGCAAGATATGGGATTCACTTGTGTTAGACTCTAAAGCTTAAAGCTGATGACCGTAATTGGTTTATATATGGTTTATCAAGATTGTTTGCTTGTGAGAATTCCCGATATTTCCCTTTCTTTTGTATGAAAAGTTGAGGGAAAACAATTAGTCTTGTCACTGGAAGTGTATGACAAATAGTAGATCATATTTCTTGTTTCTGTGGATATAATATAATATAATATAATATAATATAATATAATATAATATAATATAATATAATATAATATAATATAATATAATATAATATAATATATAATATAATATAATAATATATATAATATAATATAATATAATATATAATATATAATATAATATAATATAATATAATATAATAATATAATATAATATAATATAATATAATATATATAATATATATATAATATAATATAATATAATATAATATAATATAATATAATATAATATAATATAATATAATATAATATAATATAATATAATATAATATAATATAATATAATATAATATAATAATTTGTGTTGTGTTGTTTGATCAAATCCGTTATAAGGAAAATTTTGCTCTATATTGGTTAACAGCTCGGACTGAGCTGTGCCCTGCCGAAATGCCATGACCATGGATTGGCCTTCTTAAATCACCGACAATAACACATGTCAGTGTTTTTAGTCGGGTCTTTTCTTTTTCCTCATTTTACCATGGGCCAGGGCCGTCCAAATGAAGTGATTATCGAAGAACCATGCGAAACGCAAGACATCAAATTTCTCGTATATAAATTTCATTAATATAGAATATATGTTTTTTAATAGTAGTTGTGCTGTGTATTTGTGTATGTATCTGTATACGGTACACAATTGGATATGGGTACGTTTTATGTCCATATCATAAAAAATGCAACAAATAATGAAATTAATATTATTTTATTATTTCATTATTGGTTGTATTTTTTTTTCATTATCAACAAAATAAAGCTAGAAGGTCAAAACCGACAGCACCTTGACCGAGACGGATTTCATAGAATTTTTCAACATTGTTGGGCCTCGGTAATTCCTTGTGACGGTGAATCTACCTCAGCCTTCTAGATTCGCCTGGTTACACGATTTCTTCAAAAACCAAAGGCCAAGGAAATGTTCAATTGAAATATAAAAATTTATTTATTTTATTTAAATATATGTATAATATTTTATTATATTAATCAATTTAAGACTGAATTATTAACATTTTTGCTAAAATATATTATTTAATAATTATTTGACACGTTGTATAAAATTTAATTATATTTTATTTCTTTAAAGAAAAAATTTAAAATTCTTAATTTTTTTAATTTTTAAAAGATCCTTAAATTCTTAAAATCCATCGAATAGTTAGAGATTTAAGTAACACAATTTATCAATTTGGTTCAAAGAAGTCTAAGCGGTGATAACAAAATTGGATCTCTTTTAAAATGAGCAAGATTTTATTCAACGGTAAATGAATTAAAGTTATAAGGACATATCAACGAATAAAGAAAAAAATAATTAACAGTGAAGGTTTAACGACAATTTAAAAAAAATTAATTTAATTTTTTAAAATAAATATTCTATATATTTAAAACGAATTAAGAATTGAATTATGTATCATTCATTCTAAAATGATAATAGAATGAAACAGCATAAACAGAAACAAAAACACTTGTGTTTTTAAATTAAACCTAAAGAAAAAGGGAAAATAAAGATGACAGTTTGAGTAAATCCGCTGCCTAAATCCCGACTCTTGCACAAAACCCAGACTAAACAGAAAGAGATTGAAACATGTCACGGCGGTCATCAGGGACAATGTTGCGGGCATGTCTAGTAATATTTGCACTAGTTTCAGCATTGGGAGTATGTGGACCTGCTCTTTATTCCAGATTCAAGACAACTCTCAGATTCGTTGATTCCAAATCCTCTTGTCCTCCTTGCATCTGTGATTGCCCTCCTCCTCTTTCCCTTCTCAAGATTGCCCCTGGTATTCTTTCTTTTCAATTATTATTATTATTGATAATCAAATTTCGTTCCTTTTGTGATTCTGAGTTATCCTCGGAATTTGATTGGATCGGCTGTTTCTTTATTGGAATGAATTTAAGCTATACCCATTTGTTGAATTTGAGGTCTTGATCTGCTTTTGTTGCTACTTTTGACCTCTGCAAATGTCGTGTTCAGTAGCTTTTACCGAAGTTGCGATTATATTTGACACTTCCATTCTATGTCAAATTCCTGTTATTTTTTATTTGAGATTTTGATCTATTGCTGCTTATGCTAACTTTGAAGGCACCGGTTCTCTTGGATACATGCAACTGATGTAACAAACTAAGATTAAATTTCAATTCCAATTCAGATTTGTGCTTGTTTAATCATATGTTCAGTGGAGGAATTTAAAAGAACTTGTTTTTGTTGTCATTGGGAACTAATTACAGAACCCTTTGTTCTGTATCAACCTTGTATCCCTTTAGTCCCTTCTTTCCCCATGTGATAACCTTTCTGGATTTAGGCTATAAGATTTTCATAGTCTTAAAGAACCATTATCTCTTTTTCCTAGTGAGATTGTTCTTCTTCACTCTAGGAAAGTAGGTATAAAACACTTTCTTGGGTTTTTCTTCAAGGAAATGACTGTCGTGATTTCACAGTATTTCACACTTTGTCTAGCTGTGTTGTTGAGTTTGTGTAGAATGAAACAGGATAACATATATTTTCTGTGAATGATGTGAATTGAGTATAATTCAGCTATTTTCTTTGATTATTTTCAGTGCTTTTGCACCATTGATCTTCTTGTTAAATCAAGCGTCCAGCATCTTAATAAATCTGGCGTTGATAATGAAACAGTACTTGCATCCCGGCTGCTTGTACTCTTCATAAACCACGTTGATACAAAATAACAAGCACAGGGTGAAAACTTATAAACTTCTATACATTTCATGAACTTATATTTTTTTCCTTCTTTCTTTTCGCACCTGATATTTTGCATCCAGACTATATAACCTTGTAAATGTGAGCAGAATCTTCTGCTCATTGCTCTGTTGGTTTCCTTATTTCTTGCGGTTCCTGCCAGTAATCATGGTGGTGATTGTAAATATTTTGTTTCATGTTTTCATGCGTCTTGTCCTCAAAACTTTTTGTTATCTATGTGAATTACTCACATGGTTTTTGTGCCTTTGTTGTTCTTTTGCAGGGTTGGTCAATCTCTCCGTCATAGGTTAGAGTTTATTCTTTCAACTCAAATCGATTGGTGTTTATGACTTAACGCTTTATACTGGTCATTTTATTTATATAAAATCATTGCCCTCCCTACTTCCCAATGGCGACAATTATGTATGCAATGATATGATTAATGGTGACACAGATTGTGGAAGCAATGACCCTGATCTGAAGCAAGAGATGGAGAAGCAATTCGTGGACCTTCTGACCGAAGAGTTGAAGTTGCAGGAGGCCGTCGCTGAAGAGCATGCACACCATATGAACATCACCTTTGGTGAAGCAAAAAGGGTGGCTTCCCAGTATCAAAGGGAGGCAGAAAAGTGTATTGATGCCACTGAAACCTGTGAGGGAGCCAGAGAACGAGCCGAGACATTGCTGATAAAGGAGAGGAAAATTACGACGATATGGGAACAAAGAGCTCGACAAATGGGTTGGGAAGGTGAATGACTGTTAATATAAATCATTTGAATATCGTAGACTCTTGAATTTGAAGGCTCCCCCATCCACTGCGATATTTATCGAAGCAGGCAAGCGAAGTTGCTTGAGCCTCGAGTAGTCTTGTTAAGGAAAAATTCCCCTCACCCACCCTTCATTTGTAGTTGCCTTAACTCCTTTATAAGTATCTAAACGATTTTCACCTCTAATTTTGTCATACTACTGTGGTGCAATTTCTTCACTTGAAGCAAAGTTATAGTACAGGCTGTTCTATTTTCTCTCTTTTTCGTGCAAAAATAAGTTCAAAAATACTTCACTGTTCCAATGTTTGATTAGGTTTATAAATGTTTTTGCTCAAAATTATTAAGTCCAAGAGTGTTGACTGTGACACTAAGACTACAATATTAAATAGTTGCAGCGAATATAGTTAAAGGGATCGACATAAGGATGCAGTCCGTTATAAAGAAGTGAACACCCACTGCCATAAAAAATATAATCATTGTTTCCCATTTATCTCCCTAAAGGCATCCACCGACACAACAGGGGAAGCTTTTGAACATTAGAAAATGGAAAATGGAAAATGGAAAATGTTTTAATTTCTTTATCAAGATAATGATTTTTACCCAAAAATATAATATTTTACAAGGTTGAATTTCACCTTCAATAGTATGATTCTACATATCAGAACAAATGGAGTAAATAAAGGAGTATGAATTTTATCAAAATCTGCAGCATTTTATCATTTTCTGACCCTCCAAACAAACAAAATAATCATGGCAGATCAGCCATTGACTTCCACTAAGAACGAAAGACAAAGAAGCACATGCGTAGCATTCGAGTTAAAAAGACAATGAGATGCCCAACAAACGCGGTATCAAAACTTTTCCACGTTCATGCATCCAGTCTCAATACACAGCTGTGTTCTTCTTCAATTATATATTCATTATAAGAAACCCTCTCATTTCATTATAATATTGATCACTAGACATAGCCACAATTAAATATTACAAATTCAGATCTACCCAAATAACATTGTCCCATTACCATTGTAGATGTTTGATTTGTCCGGGGCTCATATCACTTGCAAATGAAAACAGTTTTGGGGGTTAAAAACCAGAAAAGAAAATGTGGAGGCCATTTCTTTATTTTTTTCATCGTGGGTAATAAAAACTGAAATGTGCAGTTTTTACGTGGGGGAAATAAACTGTAAATGGAGGGGGATGGTCAGTTTTTTAATGAAATAACCACCAGAAACGGGAGAACAAAGAGGGAGCAGATACACAGTAAGAGGCAGAAAAGAAAAAAGAGAGGCAACAACGAAAAAGGAATAGAGAGAACGGGGGAGATTGGAGTCGAGAGAGACCATTACGAGAAGAACAGAGATTCTACTTGTTTTTTTTTTAAAAAACACAATAGCGCAAAAGAAAAGAAGAATGGTGTAAGAGTTTTCTTTCCCATAATCAAAAATTAGACAGTGTTGTCACAAAGGGATTTCCTCGACCCTATTTCATTGGAAGCAAGCAATAGAAACAAGTCAATTGTTTTTAGCATTCGAGTATAAGTAAGCAAATTTCCAAGGTTCTTCTCAAATTCTTCTTTTGAAACTCTAATTTTTTGTTCTTTATTTGAAACTAACAGAAAAGTAAAGGAGATAGTTTAAATGCTTGCCTTAATTGTAGTTTGCTTCATTTTGCCTCATAGCTGTCGAATATATACCATTGAAACAAGGGGGTTGTGTTAGTTGGAGTAAGATAAACATGTTCCTTATTAAAATAGGAAGAATTGGGTTTTTATAATTTACCTTACAGTGTGTCGGTATCGTTGTATGCGGTCGGAGTTTGGAGTTTCACGGCGGCGTTTGTGGGAAGAGAGGGATATGATCGAAGTTTGGTCTAGTGCCGAGTTTAAGTGGTCGTTGAACTTTGGAGTTATACTGGGTATCGAACGGAGTAGAGATGGCCACCAGGACATGGTGGCCGAGCGATGGAGCAGCGGTAGATTTCCTTTTCTGGTTTGGGCAATGTGCGTAGGAGAAAGAGAGGGGTGACTGAGCGATTAGGTGTTCCGGTGAGGCCTTTTGGAATCTGTTTTGGGTGTTTTAAACATTGAGTTAGAAGTCAAAAGGGTGAGATTAAAGTTAAGGGCTGTTAGGGGGTCGGTTTAAGATACTAGGTCGGTGAAGTGGTGACCAAGCGGCGGCCATAGGGGTTTTTTTAGCGAGTTGTGCGACAGATGGTAGCCATGGAGGTTCTATTTTAGGTGATATGCGATCGTGGGGAAGAAGAAGGGAGAGATAGAGAAGATGAGAGGAACGGTTGGGTTGTGAGTTTAGGATTAGGTTTAGTTTATAATTAGAATTTATATTAGAAATGTTAGGGTTAATTATTCGTAAGTCATCGTCTTTTAGGAGTTATTAGTGTGAGGTCCAGTATATTTAGCTTAGTATATTTTAGTCCTCGATTAGAATCTTTTATTTTTCATTTTAGTTCTCATATTTTTCGCGTATTTGATTTCATCCTTAATTAGTAATATACTTAAAATATGTTTTTTAGACATTTCACTCTTAATTTTCACATGTTTCGTTTTAGTCCATGTTTAAGTTTCTTATGTGTATGTATGTATGATTAGTTAGGATTCATTTAGGGTGTATGTTTATCCTAGGTTTGAATGATGGCGATATGTGTGCATATGTTATTATATGGTTCATAAGCATGGATTTAGATGTAATATATCCTTTTATTTAATTGATCTTTACATGACATCATTTTGGCATAATTTGCATGATAGCCTCACTTGCATAACTCGACATATTCATAATTGGATTAAGGGTAATATATTTTTAATTTAAAATTGTTTTAAGTGGGCAGTCATAACTGATTTGAGGTCCGCTTTTAATGATTTTAAAATAAAAGTGTATCCCGAAAGTGAAACAAAAAATTGATTCGTCACCTAAAATTTGGGAACGAGAGAAAAAGAAATGTTCGTTTATTTAAATATATCGAGAAAAGGTTGTTATATCTTTAAGATCTGGTCTCGATATTTGTAAATAATCGAACATTCTTTATCTTTCTAAAATGACTTGGTAATTTTAATTTAATTTGTTTGAGTGTTTTTGAATGTTTTAGATTTACATTTTTATTTTATGGGATCAAAAATCAAAATAAACTCGAATTTGTAAAGTTCATTGCAAAGACGTTAATTAATCGACTAGGTACCGATTTAGGGCGTTGTGGGGGTGATAATCCTTCCCAACACGTAACTGACTCCCGAACTCGGATTTTGGTAACGCATACCTCAAGTTGTTGTTTTAATTAAAGTTAATTTTTATTTAAAATGACAAAGTATTTTTGGGTGCCCAATCACACCCTAATCAAAGATTGGTGGCGACTCTTCGAACCGTATTTTTCGATTGTAAAGGAAATTCAAATTTTTTCGAAACGAGAGGTCTTTTAAATCGCATATGTTTTTAAAATGAAAAGAGACAATTAAGAATTAATGTGGTTTTCAAAATCTCACATTTTTTCACCTTTTAAGAAAAAAATCGTTTCGACAACTTGGCGACTCCACTGGGGATTTTTTTTAGAGAGTCAGGCCGATAGTCGGTTAATTAATTATCTTTGCAATTGAAAATTACAAATTCGTTTTAATTTGGTTTTTTGATCCCTTGTTTGGTTTTTAATAAGTTTCGTTTGTATTTTGATTTCTTTAATTTAATTCGATTGACAATTAAATAGTTGTACTAATCAGTTTGTTAATGATTTCAGAATAATGGTGTGTTTTGGGAATTGATTTTGAGTGTTTTATTGATTTTTTTTTTCGATTTTCCTCACACACTGCACAGCTGCATTATCATAACATGAGCTAAAACCCCGCTCCGTCCTAATTAAGTAGGAGTGAGAGACTATGCCCTCGTGTGGTTTTCACCTCCGTATGGGATAGTGGATCGCTCCTGGAGCTCACGCCTTATGGTCCTCGTGATGGTAATCACCTCCGCATGGACATAAGGAGGTGTGTTCCCTCGAAATTGAACTCGATCCCCTAAAGCCTGTGATGGGCCATGATTGAGGGTTCGACAGCCCAAGGGGGTACCGACAAGGACAATTCGAGAACCTATTACTTTAGAACCTAACCCAGCATATAGTGAACGTAGAGCCCGAACTTAGGTTGAGCCAAACCTGAACCTTAAGAATCCCATGAGGAGGGTACACAAGGAAAAGCTTTTTTGAGTCATTTATTTTCGTTTTTTTTGAATAAATGCATGCGAACTAGATATCATGCGGTTAGGTTTATTTTTTTTAAGCATGCGAATTAGATATCATGAGGTTAGGATTTCTTTTTGTGGATAACAAAGCATGGGGGTAGATATCATGTTGGGTAGGATCTGATAAAGCATGATTGGGTAGTCAGCATATGTGGGTAGGATTTTTGAACAAATTATTATCCTGAATTAATTGCTTCATGTTTACTAACCGATCTTTTATTGTTTTTGCCTTGTTTCTTTTCTGTTTTGCATTGCATTGTCCATTACATGGTGTTGATTTGGGGTCGATGTCCATATAGAAGGCCAGTAATATGGAATGAACGGTTCAAAAAGAGGTTGAGGACAATACAGATGTTCTGAGGTGATCGAAACAGTCCCAATTGACCAAAGGAGACAGCGTGATGCCTGGATATGTGTCAGAGTTATTTGGTTACACTCACATCAACGTACGTCAGAATGATCTGAGTGAGCTAAGAGAGATATGGGGAAGATGGGAAGCAGCCGATAAGAAGATGTTTTATCAGTTGTACGGCGATATTCCTTATCTTCTGGATGTTCTTATTGACCGAAATCTGTTTAGAGCATTGGCGCAGTTCTGGAATCCGGCTTATAACTGTTTCATATTTGGTAGAGTGGATCTAACACCAACAATAGAGGAGTATCAAGCTTTGGTCCGTTGTTCGAGGTCACAGATGGATAGAGTATATACCAAGCTGCCAGTCACTCCTTCGTTTAAGAAGAAATTACTATTGATGACCTGAATGAGTGAAGATTGGGTAATCAGAAACATTAAAAAGAAGGGAGACAATGAGTGCATCTCTTGGGCTGCTTTGAAAGAAGTAATTGATCATCACCCTGATAAGAGAAAGAAGCTTGACTTGTTTGCTTTAGGGATTTATGGGCTCGTTATTTTTCCAAAAATGTTAGGATATGTAGACGTATCAGTCGTTGACCTGTTTGAAAGATTAGACAAGCACGTGGATCCTGTTCCAGCCATTTTAGCTGAGATGTTCCGGTC